TGGACTTCAACTCCCAGAATTCCTGAGCCAGCACAGGGAAACTATGGCCCCTTCATGACTCGTGGACTTCAACTCCCAGAATTCCTGAGCCAGCATGGGGCAACTGTGGCCCCTTCATGACTTGTGGACTTCAACTCCCAGAATTCCTGAGCCAGCATGGGGGAACTATGCTCCCCTCATGACTCGTGGACTTCAACTCCCAGAATTCCTGAGCCAGCATGGGGAAAACTTTGGCCCCTTCATGACTCATGGACTTCAACTCCCAGAATTCCTGAGCCAGCAGGGCTCAGCTTGGAAACCTCTCCCTTTCCCCTCAGCGTGGCCGGCTCAGGAATTCTGGGAGTTGAAGTCCACCAGTCATAAAAGAGCCAAGGTGGCCTACCCCTGGTTTACACCACAGGAGGGCATTGGGACAGAGCTTAGAGCATCTTCTGGATTTTCCACTGTTGTCAAAAGGATGAAAGCTGAATCAGAGTCTCTATTTTTTTTTTCTAAATGTGTGCATTTCCCCCCATAATTTCTAGGCTCTGGCATCCAGTATTTACATGAAAACAGAATAATTCATAGAGATCTTAAACCAGAAAATATTGTCCTTCAGGAGGAAGCCGGGAAGGTAAGTGAAACGCTCCAGGCGTTGCAACAGTGAGTTTAGAAGGCTGCGGTCGTCGGTTTGTCCGTCAAACTGTTCCACGAAACGGGCCACGGAAAGGGGAATCGTATCCCTCAGCAGCCCCCCCCGTCCTGCCCTGCTCCCTCCCCACCTCTGCTGGGCCAGGCCCTCCTGCCTTTTGGGCCGGGCCTCCCTCGCCTTCTCCGCCCGCAGGTCCTCTCCTCCTGCTCTTTTGAACCACAAGGTGCCCTTGACTTTGGCCCAGTCACAAGGAGACCCTGAGTTCTAGTCCTGCCCTAGGCACAAAAGGTGGGTGACTTTGGGCACTCCCTCTCTCTCTCTCTCCCTCGGCCCAGCCCACCTCACAAGGTTGTCGTTGTGGGGAAAATAGGTGGAGGAGGGAATATTAGGTATGTTCATTGCTTTTAATTCGTTACACCGACAGTAAAGGTGGAATATAAATAAATCAGGGTCCACCGGTGGTGGCTTGAGGAGCTGGTTCTCCAGCCTCGGAACAACGTCTAAAACAGGGGTAGTCAACCTTGGCTCTTTTATGACTCGTGGACTTCAACTCCCAGAATTCCTGAGCCAGCTGTGCTGAGGGGAAAGGGAGAATTTCCAAGCTGAGCCATGCTGGCTCAGGAATTCTGGGAGTTGAAGTCCACGAGTCATAAAAGAGCCAAGGTTGACTACCCCTGGTCTAAAAGGACACTTCAGCTGCCGGCTCCTTCCTTCCCATCCGATCAAAGCAGAGGCTCCCCCCCCCCCCGTTTCAGAGGCTCAGCTAGGGGGAAAAAATGGAGAGAAACACCCACGTCTCCGTGAAGCAGCTCAGGTGAAAAAATGACTTGCCGTGTGATTTAATTGCCAGGTAATCTACAAGATCATAGACCTCGGATACGCCAAGGATCTGGATCAAGGAAGCTTATGCACGTCTTTCGTGGGGACCTTGCAGTACCTGGTGAGATTTGAGCACAGATTGCCCTGTGTTCCGTTCTTCACTCTCTCTCTCTGGGGGAGAGGAGGGGACCTCTGTGTCGTTGATGCTTCTCCCCATTTCTGCTGTTTTGTTTTAGGCCCCTGAACTCTTTGACAACAGCCCTTACTCCATGACTGTGGACTTCTGGAGCTTTGGGACGCTGATCTTCGAGTGCATTACGGGCTTCAGGCCCTTCCTGCACAACCAGCAGCCTTTCATCTGGTGCGTTTCTCTCGCTCAGCTGGGGCAGGGGGGGGCAGTGCGGACACGGCCGGCGCGTTTCGCGTTTGCCAAAGAGCCGCTGGCTTCCTTTCTCTGCATACCCAGGGACACCCAGGCAGCCTCAGGAGAGGCATCAGGGAAGGAGATTCCGTTCCCTGACAAAACGTTCTTTCTCCACCAGCTGTGGATCCAGGAAGAGCTTTTTTAGGGGAATCCCAAGCTGAGCATGGCTCTTTTGGGGAGGGGGAACCATCCATAAGCATTTTGAAGGGTCCCAAGGGGTCTTCTGGAGGTCACCCATCCTGCTAGAGGCATCGTAGGCTCTGAGATACCAACTATTTTTCCTTATTTGTGTGTGTGTGTGTGTGTATGTGTATGTATGTATATGTATATATGTTAAATTTGGATTGCCAACAAAGAGTTAAAGGGAAACTAGTATAGCTATTTCGAAATGATTTGTTGCAGTAGCGACTGCTGCCTGGGATAGCTCCTAGATTGGGGCTGATAAAGGCAAAAGCTTCCTTCCCATATTTGGGTAGACGGGGTGTTTTAAAAAAAAGAAAAAACACTTAATATATATACGTGTGTGTGTGTGCGTATATATATATATGTATATATATGTATACCACACATACATAGACACACACACATAGAGAGGGGGGGAGAGAATGAGAGAGAGAATATATGTGGGCTCAGCTGATTAATTTATTACTTTCTAGTCCTTGATCTCCCACCTTCCTTGCTCTTTTCCCGCAGGCATGAAAAAATCAAGAGGAAAGACCCCAAATGCATTTTTGCATGGGAAGAGATGACTGGGGAAGTTAGATTTAGTGCTTATTTACCAACTCCAAACAGCTTGTGCAGGTAACATTCATTCTCTCTTTTCTCCTTAATTAATAGAATTCCTTCCTGCATTAAATCCTTCCTACCTTCCTCCCTCCCTCCCTCCCTCCCTCCCTCCCTCCCTTCCTTCCTCCCTTCCTCATGGAAGAACCAAGTCCTTTGAATCTCCAACAGGGTCGGGGGCTATTCCACTTTCGGGGGGGATGCCTCATTCCAGAAGGCAGAGCTACAGAGGGGGTCCCCGTAGATGCCCTTGTTTAATCAAAGCCAGCGCTGGGGCACACCAGTCCTGGCGGATCAAAAGCTCCCAAGGCAGATGCTGTGAGGGACTGGTGGTCCTTCAAGTAGCCAGGCCCCGTGGTGAGGCAGGATGGTGATGGTAGCCCATCCGATGGGCTTACGCTCTTATTCTGTTTTATGGCTTAGTACGATTGTAGAAACCGTGGAGCGCTGGCTTCAGCTGATGCTGACTTGGGATCCACAGCAAAGAGGAGGCGGGATAGATCCCAACACAAACGGCTACAGATGTTTTCAAGTAATGGAACAATTGCTAAGTCTGAAGGTAAGGGGCCACACATTACAAACTTCAGTCAAAAAGATTGATTACGATTACAATCGTTTTATAAGCTTTCATTTGCTTCTTTTATTGAATCTCAAAATATTCAGAGCTGGTAACATCAAAATTCCTTTCCCAAAGGAAGGAAATTAATTAAAACCCAGTACATTTTTATTTTTGAAATAACACTAACGTGATTAGAAATTTGGGCAAGAAACTAGTTGTTACAAACCCCCCCCCCCATTGCTTCGATCATACTGTAGCTTTTTATTTTATTTTATTTTGAGCACCTTAAACCTGTCTCCTAAATTCACGGGGGCTGGTAAAAAAAAATCTTCAAAAATAAAACGCTTTCAGATATTGAGTACTTTGCTGTTTCTTTGTGGCGTTTTGTTTTCAGATCGTCCACATCCTAAACATGACGTCTGCCAAGATCCTTAGTTACTCTCTGCAGCCAGAAGAAAGCCTTCACTCCCTGCAAGTTCGAATTGAATCTGACACTGGAATAAGCTCAGGAAACCAGGAGCTTCTCCTTGAAATGGGGAGCTGCTTGGACCCCCGGAAATCGGCCTCTCAGTGTGTCATCGATGGCGTAGTAAGATTTCTTCTCGAGTCCTGATAAAGGGGGTCTCTTACGGGCACATCCTTGATAGGACCGTTCATGGCAGCCAGGCAGGACCTGAGGATTTATGTCACACCAGTTTCCTTAACAGTCCAATTTGTGGAAATGGTTTGCTACCACTTATTTTATTCCCTGTGAGGCTTTTCATAACTAGCTCTGGTAAAATGCATCGTTTTCTTCAGTTAAATTCCATTTTTGCAAGGCTACGAAAGGCTGCAAAGTTCTAACAGAATAAGTTAGTGGTTTGCAAGATGGGGGCATCTTAGCACCTCCAAGTGCTCGTTAATCCTTTAAATAAATCGCCTAGATCAGAAGTAGCTTCTTCCAGCTCCTTTTTTAAGACTTGTAAAATAAATTAAATCGTTACAGAATTTTTCACTCCGTGAGTGTGTATATATCATATATATGTATGACTTTATATTCATCTATTCTTGCATGTTATTACTGCTTATCTGGATTATTGGTACTTTCTCAAGGTTTTCAAGGAAATGTTTTGATTTGATAATTTCTCTTTTTCCGCCAGAAAGGCTGGGATAGCTACATGGTATATTTATTTGATAAAAGCAAAACTACATATGAAGGCCCTTTCGCTTCTAGGACGCTTTCTGATTCTGTAAATTATATTGGTAAGTTTGTCTCAGTTTGTTTAGTAATAATTACTATTCTAAGATTCAGCAGCAACATATTTAGGAAAAATATTCTGCAATCATCTTTGAGATTAAAATATCAAAGTATAAAAAACACGCACTAAATCAGTCAGAAGAATGTACAAGCTTCTGCTCCTGACCCATTCATCGTTTTCTTTGAATTTGTAAAGACTTGTGTGCAAATTATAAATATTGAATTCAAAGTTGCAAAAATACATCATGTTCAACTCAGTAATAAGCAGGGATTGTGTCAGCTTTGGTTGCATCACAAATATTTTTAAATTCAGTGTCTCCCTTCCCTTCTTCTAACTTCCAGTTCTTAGTATACTAATAAGGATAACAAGGCCATTATCTTCTCTTAGTCAAGGACAGCAAAATTCAGCTGCCCATTTTCCAGCTTCGGAAGATCTGGGCTGAAGCCGTGCACTACGTCATTGGCCTGAAGGAAGACTACAGCCGCCTCTTCCAGGGCCAGAGAGCTGCCATGTAAGTCCCAGGTGCCCCTGAGGAAGCCCAGCGGTCGGGAGGGGCTCGGACGAATCCGATCAGCAGCCCTTCTGCTCTTTCCTGTGGCCCCCCAGTGGTAGGAAGGGCTATCCATTGGGGAGTCCCAAATAGCCATAGCTCTTAGGCTTATATACCGCTTCACAGTGCTCTACAGAGTCAGCCTGTTGCCCCCAACAATCTGGGTCCTCATTTTACCGACCTCGGAAGGACGGAAGGCTGAGTTAATGTTGAGCCGGTCAGGATCGAACTCCTGGCTGTGGGCAGAGTCAGCCAGCAATGCTGCACTCTAACCCCTGTGCCGCCAGGGCTCTCTATCCATGTATGTTTATATGTAGTTATGACAGAGATTAACGCAAACTTCTCTTTGACCTAATTTCCAGGTTGAGTCTTCTGAGGTACAACACCAATTTAACCAACAGGAAAAACAACATGATCTCAGCATCGCAACAATTGAAAGCCAAACTGAATTTCTTCCAGCAAAGTATCCACCTGGACCTGGAGCGATACAGTGACCAAATGACCTATGGAATCTGTAAGCCTTTGGGCCAGTGATGACCCCAACACGCTGGTTAACTTTTGGGGGTGCCACCTGCTCAACATCATTCCTCCCTCCCTCCCTCCCTCCCTCTCTCTCTCTCTCTCTCACACACACACACACACACACACAGAGCTTCTCTGGTGCTGGCCATCCACATTATCGGGATCAAACAGGATCTTATAGCTGAAACTGTTTGTCAGCCGGTTCATCTTCTTAACCATCTACATCCTATAACCTTCCTAAATCCAGAAATGCAGATCCTTGTTTCCTACCTCTTTCTTGTGTGAAATGTACAAAATATGTTAAAATAGCTAAAATCTAATCAAAGGGATGAAGGGATCCAGGCTGAATAACGGCATATCAGTGGAGATAAGTTGTTGATGGTGGACCCTTTATTGGCCATTTGCAAAATTCATCAGTATTGCTACTTCTGTTGTGAAGCATTGTTTGTTTCACAACAAGCGTTGCTCATTTTCAGAGAAAATGGTGTCTTTAAATTAACTCCAGTGTATTTCTTTAAGCCTCAGAGAAAATGCTAAAGGCTTGGAAAGACATGGAAGAAAAAGCTTCGTTGTGCGAAAAGGTATGGGTCAAAAGCAGAATGTATTCTTTTAAACCTACTGCTTTTGTAGTTCTTGTCCCCGTGACCCTTATTAAAATGAGTTTTTATTTTTGAGATAGTACCTTATTATCCACGTACAGATTTAATCAAAATTAAATAATTAAAAATGAAGATAGGAAAGTGATCAAAACCTTTCCGTTATCCAAAGAAGAAGGCATTGCTTTAAATCCAAATTTATTGTTACTGTTATGTATTTTTTAATTCTGAGACAGCAGCTCACGAATAGGGAAAGAACAGGAAGCTAATAAAAATTAAGCACCCCTTTCTCGTTCTGCGTTTCATTATCACTCATCTGGCACTATCCTCAAATAAAGCTGCCCTTTAGAGTGTGCTCAGCCACGGGGAAAATTCTCCCACCATCGTCTCTCTGATCAAAATGGCGTTTAGAAGCAGGCTGCCCCGAATTCAGAAATAACCTTCAGTCCGTGAAGAAGACCTTCTGTTTTTCCAAGGTCTCTTAAATTGAGAACATTCAGATCTTTTCCATTTTTACTGTTTATTATTCAAAATATAGGCTATCTAGCCCTAGGCCAGGGGTAGACAACCTTGGTTCTTTTATGACTGGTGGACTTCAACTCCCAGAATTCCTGAGCCAGCCATGCTGAGGGGAAAGGGAGAGGTTTCCAAGCTGAGCCATGCTGGCTCAGGAATTCTGGGAGTTGAAGTCCACCAGTCATGAAGGGGTCATAATTGCCCCATGCTGGCTCAGGAATTCTGGGAGTTGAAGTCCACCAGTCACGAAGGGGGCCATAGTTCCCCCATGCTGGCTCAGGAATTCTGGGAGTTGAAGTCCACAAATCATAAAGGGGCCATAGTTCCCTCATGCTGGCTCAGGAATTCTGGGAGTTGAAGTCCACGAGTCATGAAGGGGCCACAGTTCCCCCATGCTGGCTCAGGAATTCTGGGAGTCCACGAGTCATCAAAGAGCCAGGGTTGCCTACCCTTGCCCTAGGCGCTACTTGGTGTGGATATTTCTCTACCTTAGCAATGGTTAAGACCTGTGGATTTCAACTCCCAGAATTCCCCAGCCAGGAATCCTGGGAGTTGAAGTCCATTCATCTTAAAGTTGCCAAGGTTGAGGAAGGCCGCTGCAGGGCATCTCCAGCCAGGGACCAGCCAGCCTCCATGGGAAACTCCGGCGAAGGAGGCGCCACGTGGCAAATCCTTTTGTGCTGCCCGACGGGAAGAGGCATCCAGTTGTGTGATTATATTCAGTGTGAAAAAAAGATCCCAACGTTGCCTTCAGTCTATCAGAGAGAGGGACTTTTTTTTCTCCTGTGCAGGTGGCAGATATCGGCTCCCTGGATGAACAGATCATGGCGCTGCACACCGAAATTGTGGAGCTGCAGAGAAGCCTCCATGTGCGACGTCAGAACGACGTCATGGAAAATCTGTAAGAAAACAAACTTTCCTCATTACGCAGCTGACTTAGCAGCAGGAGGCTTTTATTATTGCTCTACGAAGCATCGTTAATGGCACCCTAGCTAATAAGCCTTGCCTCTGCCCAAAAACGTTATAAATAAATGGAGCTGGAGACCTAAAATTTCTATCCCTTGATTTGGCCAGGGTCACCCACAGATACTGCCCCCATAATCCCCTGCCTCTCATGCGGATGCACTCCCGTGTCGCCAGTCTCCTCTGCTTGATTCCACAAAATAGGTCATCAGTCACGAGTTACAACCGTGATGGGCAGGCTCCATTAGAATCGTAACTCAAGGACTACCTATGTATATTTTTTAAAAAGCATACAGTATTTATATTTTTAACACAATTCTTGAATTAGAAGTGGAACTCTGTGCCCACATATTCCTTTTTCAGTGAGTTGCAACGTTAAAATCCACCATGGTACTAAGTGGCCCACCAAGTTGGTCTGAGTGGAAAGTTTGGCTGAGTTGAGTGTGCTAAACATTTACAAACAAAACATCATTCAGCCTTAAGAGCATCAATTATGGTTTTGCTGCTGCTTCTCCTGTTGCACAAGTGTTCCTGAACAGAACGATAAAGAGCTTAAAGATCTTCCCCTTAAGATCTACCAGATTAAATATCCCGCCATTTTATTGAGGGTAAACACTTTGACGCTCCCACTCTTACTAACAGAAGTTAATCGTTTGTTGTGTTGGCCTTTATGAATGAGCGCTAACCCCAGAGGAGTTTATGTCTCTCTTTCTCTCTCTTTCTCTTTCTCTCCCCACAGGGAGCAGAGAGCCATAGAACTCTACAAGCAACTGAAGTCGAGGCCTCCAGGTAGGGCAAAGTCACAGGGAACCTGTAGCCGGCATGGAAGGGATGAGGGGGTCTTATGTAGAAACGTGGCCAGGGGGCCTGAATGGATGGGCTCAGCAGACTTGGGAGCACAAAAGATTTGGTGCACCTCTTAAAAACAAGATGAAATTGCTGGATCCTCTGCCTCTTTTTTCGCTTTGTGTCTTTCTTTACTGGTTTTCTAGGTTTGTAATGGTCATTTCTAGCTGTTCCTGCTTTGAGGGTGAAAATTTAGAATATAGAGGCTGTTCCTACGATGATGCTACTGACTCCTATCTAGTCAGATACTTCATCATTCTGTTAAATGGAGCTTTAGCAGTCTCTGGAGCACTTTGGGTTGAGGAAATATTGAAAGATAACAATATTGGAAGTCTTGTTCGATGACTACAAAATTTTATAGTCATATTTACCAGGATTTCTGATGTATCTAACAGTTACAAATATGTTATTCTTGTTATTAAGGCTAGTGTATAGTATAGTAATAGTATAGTATAGTATAGTATAGTATAGTATAGTATAGTATAGTATAGTATAGTATAGTATAGTATAGTATAGTATAGAATAGAATAGAATAGTGTATAGTATAGAATAGAATTAGGATAGGATATAGAATAGAATAGAATAGAATAGAGCTGGAAGAGACCTTGGAGGTCTTCTAGTCCAGCCCCCTTCTCACTATACCATCTCAGACAGGTGACTGTCCAGTCTCTTCTTAAAACCCTCCAGTGATGGAGCGCCCACGATTTAAAGCATATGAGTTTTCTAAACAGCATCTTTTGAGGTAAAATCTGGATCGCCCGTGCTTTTTTTACGTGGAGGAAGTTTCCCATTGGGAGAGATCTCTCTTTCAGACCACGTCTACAGCGACAGCACAGAGATGGTGAGGATCATTGTCCAGACGGTTCAGAGTCAAGACTGGGTCCTCAAGGAGCTCTTCAGGCACCTGAGGTAATCGGCCGTAATCACACCTGGGATCCATCACAACTCTCCTTTTCCACTCCTGTTCAGTGCCCAGGTCGCAGGGTGATCATGATCCAATGATGGTCACTTGGACTTTGGTGCCTCTGTCAATCTGCTTCACCTTTTGCCTTTCTTCTTCATTCAAAAGATACTAAAAATGTGACACTCACCCTTTCCAATTGTATTTCTAGTTGATCAAAGCTTGTTCAAAGTTTCAAAATATACTTCCTTAAATTGATCTGCTGTTTCTTGTGAAAGAAACAAACGCCTTCTTGGAAAAGGCTGGCTCTGAAAGCCCAGTGGACAGTCCAGGGGCCAAAATTGGCTCCGGAGAATGCAGAGGAACTGGTAAAAAACATCTAAGTTGGTATATTTTCCATTTGATTGCCAAAAGAGAGAAACATTGCTGGAAATGATAGACTGAATTTATTATAGTGTGCAATTTCATTCAATTCATAGTGTATTAACTGTCTTTGTTACTAATTTTTAGCTTAATTTTAATAATGATTTTAGGTTCTTAATGTGGTTTATTTATTTCTTTATTACTAGTTAATGAATTTTAGAAAGCTATCGCAACTTATTTTAATTCCTGATTTACTTAGCTGAATTATTTATCTTTTATTCTTTTTTTTTTATGTGTTCTCTTGTATTTTTTCATACATTTTCTTTAAAATGTTCAATAAAGGGGAAAAAAGCAAACAAGCACAGAGACACAGGGCCACTGAAGCCATGAAGCGCCAAAGCACTTTCCCTCCCCCCCCCAAGTGCTTAATGTCTCTTCAAGAGAGCAGAAATAAATGTTACTGTCTCTCTGAGGGAAACCGAGTCAGAGAAAGTGTTTTATTGAAAAGGTGGCTAAGCACCCAGCCAAAACATCTGTGGGAAAACAATGGAAAAAGAAGGGGATTGAAAGGAGATAGCTAGAGAAATTACGGTGTCTGTTCCCTGGCTGTTACGGAGGTCGCATCGTCCCTAGAAATATTCCTGAATTTGTCCTTGATTTGTACCACCGCTGAGGGAAAGGATCGTTGCCTGTCTTCTCACGCTCTCTTTTCTTTTTGAACCACAGCAAATTGCTGGGCTGCAAACAGAAAATCATCGACTTGCTTCCCAAGATCGATGTGGCTCTGAACAGCATCAAGGAGGCCGACAACTCAGTCATGCAGATGCAGGGGAAACGGCAGAGGGAGATCTGGCATTTGCTGAAAATCGCTTGCGTAAGGATTTGGATTCCCGCCGGGGAATCAACCAGGCCGTGTTGATGAATATTTCATACAGCCTGTCGACGTTACATTGTAAACCAGCGTTGCAATTTGTGTATCGGTTTGCCGACATCGCTGACATATAGGCAGAATTTGGTACAAATACTACTTGTGCCTGATGGTTAAGCGGAGAGACAATCTCACAAGTGTGTCTGTTTCCAAAGCCTGTCAGAAATATTTGGCTAACTTCCTCCCTAGAATTCAGAGGTTCATTGTGCACCATCCAGAAAAGCCGAGTACAGATTTGGGCAGCGCAGGACATATGAGGGCCACTTTTAAGACCCCATTTTATATCCCTAAATTAGGCAGGGCCAAGATGTTTCGGCACAAAAGCTCACATCTGAAAATTTGGGTGCCGCTGATTCTGATGACATTCAGATGTCACCAGCCACACCCTTGTTGTTGGTCACTCTGCACCATCTGCTAAATATCAACCATGAGTGGGTTTGCGCGGTCCTGACCACCTCATTTCCCACAGCTGTTTTAAGGCCGTAAGACCCCGCAGTCTTTATTCCTAGTCAGTCCATTCAACCTTCGAATGCCAACATTGCAACCTTACACAATTCTTCATTCTTGAGTGGCCAGAAGAGGGAAATGGGGCACCACTGACGCCCCCGATGGGGAAAAAAGTTCCTCAGCGCTCGGGATGCTGCTCTCCAGGGTGCAATGAATGCCAAACGATGCCAGAGCTCGGTCACCTGGACCCGTGTTTTTCTGCTGGCACCGCAAACCGTGTTCCTCCTGACCCCCATTTACAGCATCCCCCAATCAGGGTCATTGAGAATAAACGCAGCAGCCTTGCAGGATGCGAATCCTCCGCTAAAGGCAGCAGGCATTTCTGTCCTAAACGCCGCCTCTTTCTCCTTTTCCTTGCAGACTCAAACTTCTGCTCGATCGGCCAGCTCCAGCGTGGAGGGTCCCGTCCCGTCCTCGGTGCCTGCCTGGCTCTCCCAAGCTGCTACGGCAACCATGCTGCAGCCTTTGTCTTTTGCGGAAGCCTCTAGAAACACGTAAGAGGAGGGGAAGGCGGCCCATCCTTCCTGCTTGAAGCCCCCGGCCTCAGGGCGGGCCATTGGCACCCCTGCCAGGGAATGCCCTACGTTAATTAAACGAACAGCTTAGGGAAGAGGGCAACATACCAGGGTTTAACAGTGTGAAAAAGCCATATGCTCTGAATGCACAGTCAGTAGAATAAAGAGTATCTATATGATGTGAAACTGAAGTTTAAAGGAGAAAAGAATGCTTGAAAATAGGGTCACAACTTTAAAAAACTGTAATTGTGGGCTTAATTAAGGTTGTAAGTCAAGGACTAATTTTAATTCATATCGCAAAATATCTTTTCATCCTCCAAAAAGAAATACCTGGAATTGTGACTGCTTAAGAAAAGGAAGCTCCTGATTTTAATTTGTGTATTTAAATAGTTTCCTTCATCGTTAGCAGTACTTGGGGTAGACGGCAGCCATTTTTGCTCTTTTCCTGGCAGGTTGAATTTTGCACATTTGTTAGAAGAAAATCTAAGCTATCTTGACAGTTTTAGCGCCGTTATACAAGAAGCAAGACACGGCCAAAATAGCAGCATGACGGTGAGTCAAAACTTCCCTTTGACAGGCGTACTTTGATTATGTTTTAGTGGGGGTTTTGTATGGGGTATTTTTAGAGCAGGCCTGTTATTTAATTTGATTTTTTTATTATCGCCTGTTCACCGCCCTGAGTCCAGTAAGGGAGATAGGGCAGTATATAAATTCAATAAATAATAATAATAATAATAATAATAATAATAATAGTACTTGCAATAAATAATTCATTTATTAGGAAGAAAAGACAGCCTGGAAAGTGGGTTATTTATTCACTAATTCAGCAAGAGAAACTCATCTACAAATATCCGAGCAGAAACTTAGCATGGGCATTTTTAGAGGGAAGGGGTTAATAAAGTTGGGGTGATTTTTAGCAGTTTTTTTCCCCCAGTTTCATCCTACTGACTACAAGTGGGGTGGATAATTGATGCATCACTTGATCCTATGTGAAGAATTCTCCGCTAGTTTCCTCAAAGGAATTTTGAGGGACTCGGAAGGAATTTTGGAAACACACCAGCTCCGTGAGATGCACTGAGTGGGACGATCAGTCCCACCCTGTGAGTAAAAAGGAATATAATACAAGTGAATTTTCCAGGCTCCGGTCCTTTTAATAAGGCCAGCAGTGGGACAGACACAATTAACTTTATTTGGTATTTTAAATGACCTCTTTTGTACTTTGAGAACTGTAGAACAGTTAAGAAAACACAGAAATACGGTAGTTCCTCAGTTACGAGTTTGGATTTTTGCCCATTTTATGTCGATTACTGCATAACAACGCCGAGAGCACTTCGGATTATTGCCCTGTTTTCTTTTGCAGAGCCTCGACTGGAGCTGGCTGGATTAGCGCGTCCGATGTTGCACATCCGCATTTGCAAAAATGGGCCTTTTAACCTAAAATTCCTCTTTCTTTTTAATTAAAGAAGGACCCAGATCGAAGATCTTGCGTCATTATCCAGTTCTGGAGGTTGTGGGAAAGTGGCCTTGCTTCTCCCTCTAAAGCAGGGGTGTCAAACTGCCGGTCCGCGGGCTGGTTGCATCACACGGAGGCCGTGCCTGCCCCAGCTCCGGCAGTGCAAAAAAAAAACGCGATGTATCGCGACACGTCACCTAACGCAGCGAGTTTGACACCCGTGTTCTAAAGCATCCCGGACAGAAGGCCTTCAATCATAGGATCCGTGATGCATTTTAATTAAATACCCCCCAAAAGATCACATTGTAGTATGGAAAATTAAGGAAACGTGCTAAGGCAGAAATAATGACAAATGTAAAATAAATGATCTGTTATATAAATTATCTGTTATATTATCTGTTAATAAAAGAGAATATATGTAGCTCAGGGTTGAATTGTGAAGTCCTTGGTGCTCTCCGAGTTTGGTTGTTTTCTTGCAGATCTTTCATGACCCAACTAGGCAATATCCTCAGTGATGCATTGATGGTGTTACCTAGTTTGGTAACGAAACATCTGCAGGAAAACAACCAAACTCTGAGAGCACCAAGGACTCCATGTGGTTTATTACACACCTTCTGAACCATTCTCTTTTCTATACAGAAATTATTCATAGTATATTTCTAATGAACAACATTGGGAGTATTTTTGTAATATATTAAGCATTTATTTGTTTTTTTGTTTTTACTTTGAAAATATCTGACACATACCTTCCACTTAAAAACAATAGCTTACAAATGTCACAAATAAAATAATCTCAACAAGTAAGAAAAGTCTTTTATGTTTTTGTTAGAAAATTAGAAGGGGTTTCAAACCGTCTGTGAATAAAGGTAGTAGCTTAATAAGCTAAACAATTCTCTTAATATTGAGAGTAATTTTGCAAAACTCTTGCCATCTTGACTTAATAAGGAAGTAAGAATGTCGAGTGTTCATCCCTCCAAATATTACCTGAGGTTCGTGTCAGTCGATGGAGCTAATCCGGAGGGGGTAGTAATTGAGGCATTGGGCTAGAAACCAGGAGACGGTGAGTTCTAGTCCCGCGCCTTGGGTGCAGAGCCAGCACTCTCTCTCCGCCCCAGGCAGGAGGCAATGGCGAACCGCTTCTGAAAAACCTTGCCAAGAAAACCGCAGGGATTTTTTCCAGGCAGTCTCCAAAGACCGTGCGTAAGGGGGGGGGGAGGAAAAAGCTGAGTCATCCACACCGTGAACTACAATGAAAAAGCTTAGGGCATGTTTGCGACGTGACTTCTCAAGTCATACTTCGTGGCCGGGTGGGGGATAGTAGGGGCAACACGCAGTTCCCAGGCCAGAGGGGCTGCTGGAAGGAGCCCCCATCGGGTCAGCCCTGCGAAGTAGGCCAGCCAAGCAGCACACCCAGAAGAACTTTTCTCTGACTTTACTGTGAGATTACAGAATATCTGGCAAGCTCTTTTACAACCCAAGAAAACCAGGCGGTGAATCCGTGTTGTTGGAAGCTCTCCGGGAAGGTTGTGATTGACATTTGTGCCATTATTGTAAATACACACCACTTCCCAAGCACCTGAATTCTGATGACATGACTGCAACGGTCACAAGTGCGAAGGCCGGTTGTAGAGTCGCTGTTCGTAGTGCCCTCTTCGTAACTTTGAACAGCCGTTGAATGAAATGGTCTTTAAGTAGAGCCTCCTGGTTCAAACGGGATAACGTAACCCTTAAGTGTGTCACATAAAGAGACATGAAAAGATAAAACTACAGCATAGATGGAGGGAAGGTTTAATGGTTCCTGTAGGAAGCTTAACTTCATGTAGTTTCTGCACCACTAAAATATTAGATTGGCTTCCCGCAGCCTAACAGATTAATTTCTCTCCTTGGGCTGTATCTGTCTGTGTCGTCGGTGCATCCTTTCATACACCTTCGATATAAGGCGCAGGTCTGCAGCTTCTTTTGAGGGATCAGAATCCAGTTTCTTGAGTAGCTTCTTCACGTGGGTCAAGATATTGCTGATCTTCTCAAGCAAGGAAGGACTCACGAGGTGCTTGGTGGTTCCATATCGCTGAAGAACCCAAAGCATCCTTGAATCCTTCAACTGCAGAAAGCCATTAGGAAAAAGACAACGTGGATTGAGAGAGACTGAAGTATTGGGACCACGAACTGTTATCATTATAACATTATTAACCCATAATGTTAATATCAATGCTTCCTTGGTTCGTATGTTTGCTTATATTATATCCAACAAGTTACGTTCTACATTCAGAAGAATAAATACGTGTGTACCTTCTTTCCATCCTCAAAGCTACCTGCTAACCAACTCGTTTATCTTTTGCAACTAGGTTTTTCACACTGACCAAAAGAAAGATTTCATTTTCAAAAGAACTGGAGTCCGTGACAATCTGTTGCTGCGCCATTTCAAAGGTGAATTTCTAATAGTGAAATACAAAAACCTGCCAACATACATACATACACAAAACCAAGGGTTGGCTATAAAGTGAGGAAAGAAAAGTCAAGTATAATTGTAGTGATTAAAAGAAGCGTGAAGAAGGAGGAAGAAGGAGGAGGAGGAGGAGGAGGAGGAAGAAGGAGGAGGAGGAGGAGGAGGAAGGAGGAGGAGGAGGAGGAGGAGGAGGAGGAAGAAGAAGAAGAAGAAGAGGAGGAGGAGGAGGAGGAGGAGGAGGAGGAGGAGAAGGAGAAGGAGAAGGAGAAGGAGAAGGAGAAGGAGAAGGAGAAGGAGAAGGAGAAGAAGAAGAAGAAGAAGAAGAAGAAGAAGAAGAAGAAGAAGAAGAAGAGCCATCGAATAACAGAACAGAATAGAATTCAATTCTTAAATTCATTTCCAGAATAATTTTCTTTCAAAGCTTACTCTATAAACAATACCCCATAAACGAAAGGAGGCCTTTTTCAATGCCACCTTATGAACGGCAGCCTCGGGAGGCAAGGAAACCTCCAGAAATATTTCCATTTCAAATACGAAGGAAAGATCATTTTTTCTCACAATTTTTCCCTGCCTCCTTCATTGGAGGTGTGACTCCCTTGTCATATTATTTATTCATGTGTTTATTAAACAAATTTAAAACAAATCTATAGAGCCATCCCACTCTCGTATAGGGACCCCGGGCAGCTCACATCATTTAAAAGTCCCACCGTGTGATAAAACCCCATTAAAAGAAGCCCCCCCACCCCGCCCCCCAAGGCAGCAGCCACACAATCAAATCAACCTCTTGATCGGCACTGTTTCCCCTGGGGGTCCCCAGGCCCAGGGAGAAAGTCACGTTTTTAGGGCCCTGTGGAGCCCCAACAGCAACAGGCTGGGGGCCAGCCGTACCTCACGGGGTATGATGATCCTTAAAGAAGGGGCCACCCCCGAGAAGGCCCTTTTTCATGTATTTGTTGGTTGGTTGATTTGTTTATAAAATTTATTGGCTGCCCATCTTACCTCTGGGTAACTCTGGGCAGCTTACAGTTACTGCGTGTATACAGTTCAAACATAAAAAATTGAAATCAGACATTGAAACCTATAGACACAGGGGAGGGGGGGGGAATCTGTTATTACTTGATCAACTCCCTCCATGCGCTGATCCCCCACTGGGCCCCCAAGCCGACTGGCAAAGCCACATCTTTAGGAGGGTTGGGGGCCCAACCTCACATCTGGCGGAGGGGGGGAGGCAAGATGATCCAGAGAGCAGGAGCCACAGCAGGGAAGGCCCTCCTCCCCCAGCCCCCCCCCACCAGCTGGAATAAACGGGCTGGCGGGACCCCCAGTCTGTCTCCTCAGCCGGCACGGGTGGGGAAGGCCAACCCCAGCGGGGGGAGGAGGTCCCTCAAGTAGCCTGGACCCGTGAAGGCCATGGAGGGCTTTGGAGGGGACCCCCGGCCCCTTGAACTGCCCCCCGAAGCAGACTGGCCACTTTTCATGGTCCCACCCGATGGCCGCCCCTGACAGGGTGGAGGGGGTCCTTGCCCTCATAAGAGGGGGGTCTCCCTGCCCCTTACTACGCAGGCAAGCGGACCCACTTTCTAGGTCTCCACCCACAAGCAACGTTTGGTTTTAGCAAATGATAGAAACTGCTCCCCACGGAAGTTGAATCCGCCTGACCTCGCACCAGAAAGTGCCACCCAGACTCACTCTCAGCCGGGCACCAACGTTGAGGCGGAGGCAGTCGTGAGCCTTTGTAAACGTGAGGAAAACCTGATCCTGGGCTTTAATTTTAACCTGGATGTAAACATTGAGCTGCAGGCAGACGGGCTGGAAAGGAGGCGCGTGGACGTGAACCCCGGTGTCCCACCAGTTCCAGAACTTCTGCCGCCGCCCTTTCTCGTCAAAGACGGAGCCCCTGCAAAGGTCCAGGTTCAGCCTAGGGCGGAAAAGGCAAAATTAAAACGTGGCTGAAGGGTGTGTGTGTGTGTGTGTGTGTGTGTGTGTGTGTGTGTTTCGGACTTCCAGTGGGGGGAGGATGCAGGCAGCAGCACACGCCCGTCTCCCTAGTATTTATCACCATCCTACACCTTCCATAAAAAGCTTCGTAAACACTTTAAATGGTTGCAGGAAATGCCCCATCATCGTCTTGCTGAAAACATTAAGGTCTGCGTGAAGCTCTCATGTTAAGAAACGTCCACAGGGGACTAAAAATCAGCAGTTTGGCTCTCAAAGCTTTGCGCCTTTCTACACCCAATATGTGCAAAGAGAGTCCTAAACCCCCACGTTCTCCGTGCTGACAGTCCAAACAATCTGAATTCTAATTTAAGATTTATAGAGGCAGTTTCAGCTTGTGCCCCCTCGTGTAGCGACCCTTTAAAGTTGCAACTGCACTGAGCAAAGCGACTTACAGCCAGTCCTCGTTCTTACGGCGGCTGCAGCATCTCCGTGATCAACATTCGGGCGCTTGGCAACTGGCAGGTCTCTAGGACGGCTGCGGCGGCATCACTGTCGTCCTGGGATGAGTGACGGCCACCGACCCCCCTCCCAGCCGGCTCCCAACCCGGGAAGGAAACGGGAGAAGCCGGATTCGCTTAATGACTGCACAACTCACTTCACGGCTGCTGCGATTTCCTCAACAACCAGGGCAAGGAAGGTTGTAAAGTTGGGTGACTCGCTTAACGTCTGCCTGGCTTAGCCAGGGCTAGCAAGTCCGGTCCCATAAGTTGAGAACCACCTGCCTGTCCGTTCTGGGAGGTTTCTGTTCCCCTTTGGGCACTTAGTTTATATCTGGCCCTTCGAGAAGCCCTGGGGATGTGGGAGGATGGGAGCCTGGCCGGGGCCAAGCCTGCAGGCCCCCCCCAGGGAGCCCCTCTACGCTGCTGGAAGCTCTCCCCCCCCTCGGAGGGAGGGAGGGAGGGAGGGAGGGAGGGAAGGAAGGAAGGAAGGAAGGAAGAGAGGAGGGAGGCTAATGGAGAGCTTTCCCTTTGGCTGGTCGTGTCCTGCGTAGCCCTGATTCGTGAAGAAGGCCAGAATTTCGCTGCCCTGCGTGTCACGAAGGACGCTGTAGGTGAACTGGGTCTCGCTCTCGTAAGTCATGAGGATGGCCAGGCGGCCGGACGGGTAACTGAGTAGGAGCTAAGGAAGGATATTGGTCATCCGGGGTGCCGGATATATGCATGGCTTAATAATATATATATATATATATTTATCTTAGTAACGTGGTCTTCTTTTTATTGTTGTAATTTTTATTCCACTTACATTTATTTTTATTGACAAAACTATCCTTGGCTGGTTATGCTAAAGCAGGGATAGTCAACCTTGGCTCTTTTATGACTCGTGGACTTCAACTCCCAGAATTCCTGAGCCAGCTTAGCTGGCTCAGGAATTCTGGGAGTTGAAGTCCACGAGTCATAAAAGAGCCAAGGTTGACTACCCCTGTGCTAAAGCGTCCAGCTTAGTGGAAGAGCTCAGAAGCAAACATTATAATTTGGGGCAAGTGTTAGAGAGGCAGCTCAGAAAGGGGTCGCCCTGCCCCTCCCTCCCCCAGGCCCTGGGCTGACCGTAGAGATAAATGAGGAATTGCCCCCCCAACCCGGCAAGGCTTGCGCCAGGCGTCCCGGTTGCCTTTACACACGTCCCTCAGATCCCACACGGCGCTTACGTCCCCCGGAGAGAGGGATTTTCAGCTAGGACCCCTCTCCTTCCTCTAAATCAGGGGGGTCCAACCTTGCCGACTTCGAGGCTTGTGAAGTTCAATTCCCAGAATTCCTTGGCTGGGGATTGCCGGGAGCTGAACTCCACAAGCCTTAAAGCCGCCGAGGTTGGACGCCCCGGCTCTAAACTTTGTTCATTGGCAGATATTAGACTTGGCCCGTTCCGTCCGGGAGGAGGAGGAAGAAGATCTTTCCATCCTGGTAGTATCTTCTCACAGGCTGGAAGGGATGGCAGAGCTGAGGAAGAAAGCAGAGGAAACAGGGGAGGCCAGAGCCCTCCTGAGACAAGGGCCCTCGCCTCCGATCACATGCCCCCCCCCCCGCTGCCTGTATGCTGCACAGCCACCGAAATGAAAGGGGGGGTTAAGGGACTCTCTCACTCTCACGGCAGCATATGGACTGGCCTCTTTGGCTTCCAATTTGTTTGGTCTTAGACACGACAGTTCTCAAATCTGGGAGCTGCAAGAGCAGCTGGTGAGCTGGGCATCCGTAGAAGTTGAATGAATAAATTATGCCAGAAAGTTAAACTTTAAGAAAGGGCTATTTAGGCTGAAAGTAAGGGAGCTGTTTAAGAAAGACGCAGAAAGAGACAGAGGCTCTGTGGAATTAATCCTACTACCCAATAACTAGTGAGAATAAGCCATCTGAGGACCAGACATTAACGCCTGGATGCAAAAACCTGGATAGCCACTAGATGGCAGCAGAGTTATTTTTCTAGGGGGTCTTCTGAGTTTTTGAAGCCCAGAGCTGGAAACGGTCGACTGGGAGGCAGGTCGTCTTTCCTTTCTCTCGCCCGGCTGCCACGGAAAAGAGGAATCACAGGGAACCCTCGACTCACGACCACGACGGAGCCCAACATTCCCGTTGCTAAGCAAGACATTTGTTAAGTGTATTTTGCCCCATTTTATGACCTTGCTTGCCACAGTTGTTGAGTGAATCACTGCACTGGTTAACTTAGTCACACGGCTGTTAAGTGAATCCGGCCTCCCCCTTTTGCTTGTCGGAAGGTCGCAAAAGGGGATCCCGTGACCCCCCCGGGACACTGCGACCGTCATAAATACGAGTCATATCACGTGACCCTGGGGATGCTGCAGTGTGAAAAATGGTTGTAAGTCGCTTTTCCCATTGTGGTCGTTAATTTTGAATGGACACTAAATGAACTGTTGTAAGTCGAGGACTCCCTGTAGCCGCCCCAGAAGCCCACAAGGACTTTTGTTTCTCTGCAAAGGCCTTTCGGGAGACGGAGCCCCACCTGAAGGCCGGCCGAGCGGGGTCAGCCGCCCACCTGGGTCAGGGAGAGGTGGGTTTGGTCTATCCTCGGCCCCGGGACCCCCCGAGTGACCCCCCTGAGTCTCTGCCTCTGTCTCCAGGGTCCCTGTGGTGGGTCAAAAATGGAGGAGGGAGCTCTCCCGGGGCTGCTGGGGGCTCCTGGGTGGGAGAGGGGGCTGCATAAACCCCCAGGCGGCCGTGAGGGGGGGTGTGAGGTCGGTGTGCAGAGCACAGCCCTCCGATTCCCCCCCTTTGGGCCAGAGAGGGGGGGCCCAGCGTGCTCCGTCCACCTCTCGAGCGGGCCTTCGGGCTCCCAAACGGGGACCCCGCCAGGGAGGAGATCCGCCCACCTTTAGCTGCTCAGCTTTGAATCCCAGGTCCATCTCCAGCAGCTCTTTGGGCTCCGGATACCGTTTCTCTAGGCTCTCGGTTTCTGGCCGGGGCGGGTGGTCCGACAACTTGAAATGAATTTTGATGCCTGAAATAGGTTGAAGAGCAGATTGAATAGTCCAGAGCTTCAAGAAGGTCAGGATTTCACAGGATTTGTCTCTTTTATCACGGGGGGGGGGGGGGGGAAAGGGAGGAAAGATGCTTTCCCATTTTTGCACGGGAACTTCTGGAGAGGCGGAGGCCTTATCTGGAGAAATGAAATGAGGACAAGACAGGCTCCGGAGGGTTAGAGGGTACTCACATGGGCCATATTTTATATATTGCATAAATATCTCTCTGTATCGCTCGACGCCTCGTTCTTGTAACCTAGGAGAAAAATATTTGAAAATGAGCCGTCAGTAGGCGGACTAAGATGTTTATGCCATACAAGCAGCTGAAGAAAATGGGCATGAGGGCAGCTAAGCAAAGAAACCAATCAAATATATTGATTAAAGCATGTCAGAGAAAGCACCTGGCTCTTGGCTTTTCTACTGAGCCAAAGAACACAGATGGGCAATTTTCCTTCGACCTCTTTGCGGCCCTTCCCTGTCTTACTTTATTGGAAAGGGGTTTCCAAAGTAGGAATATGCTATTGGAAAGTAGGAATATGCTAGTTTGCAAACTTAAAGCTCCCACAACTGGGCCGCAATCCATCATGACGTCTATTGAAATTCCACAAATTTGCAGCCTTGATTTGATAACATCACTGGAGGCTTTTAAGAAGAGACTGGACAGCCATTTGATCAGAATAGTATATAGGGTCTTCTGCTTGAGCAGAGGATTGGACTAGATACAGGGCTTTTCAACCAGTGGTACGGGTACCACCTGTCGTACATTGGCACCTGGCAGGTGGTACGCGACCATCCTAGAAAAGTGGTAGCAGGGGAGGGGAATGAGAGCGCTGCCGGGCGGGCAGGCAGGTGTCTTGCTCGGCTGTGCCTTGGGGGGCCCTTTTTTCAGTGCCATTGTAACTTCCAACAGTCACTAAGTGAACTGTTGTAAGTTGAGGACTACCTGTACTTTATCACTTTTTTCCTTTTTGGGGGGGTGTCATCCAGTTTTTGACACCTTGCTAGGCGACTGGTGGTACTCAGATATTGCCATATCCTAAAAGTGGTACAATGGGTGAAAAGGTTGAAAAGCCCTGGACTAGAAGACTTCCAAGGTCCCTTTCCAATTCTGTTATTCTGTTATCTGGAAACATGTCGGGTTTATTTAAATAAACCATTCCCCAGTACGCTGCTTCTTACATAGACTATTCTTACCTTGCCACACCCAGGGCTTTATTTTGGAATTGTGTCCACCTGGCAAAAGCCCACTAAGATAGGAAAAAGAATATCCTGCAGGGGAGGGCGGACATTAAGCATTCGGTGTGGACTGCAAAACTCTAGATGACCACTAGATGGCAGCGAGGAGCTAGAGTTTCGGATAGGAGCGGGAGCTGTTCAACTAGAAGGCGGCTTACTCTTCCATCAGCATCCTTCTAGTCTTGCTGTCCAGTGACCCCCGGTGATGAGGACGGATGTCGATCTCACTGCCTCGCCTCTCCATGAGCTCCTGGATCACACACTGGAAGACCTCTTTGTACGTCCTGCAACACAGAAACTGCAAAGGAGCCCCGGGTTCAGAGGAGGGACGGCCGCCCCCACCCCCCGGCCCTCCTGGGGTCTGGCCTCGGCCTTTTCAGCATTTCACCATCGCCAGGAGAGGAAAGGCTGGTTTTGTGTCCCAACGTGGCTCTGGTTTCATTAGGGTTTTTTTTTTTGCAGCCGTCATTACGCGGATCAATAAATTGCTAAGGGGTGTGGCTTTACCGAAACCTGGAAATAAATGCCAATTTTCAACAAAGCCCACCGTACAAGTGACTGCAGGAGGCTGCAAATGGTAGGAGTGCAGGCCGGTTGCTGAGTGGCCGAAGGGGTGACCGTCAGGACTGCATGGTAAGTCACACACACACACACACCGTAGCTCCTTCAGGACTTAGAACGGCCACTGGGCTACCCGTTGTAAGTCAAGGGCTGCCTGCATCGCTGCACCTCTGCCTTTAGGGATCAGCAGGGATACAGGTTGTGAGAGCCAATGTGCACAATTTTGTCTCCTCCAAAACTAACGGTCCTACGGAGATGCTTTATGGCCCAGGGGTAGGCAACCTCAGCTCTTTTATGACTCATGGACTTCAACTCCCAGAATTCCTGAGCCAGCATGGGGAAACTATGGCCCCCTCATGACTCGTGGACTTCAACTCCCAGAATTCCTGAGCCAGCGTGGGGAAACTTTGGCCCCTTCGTGACTCAAGAACTTCAATTCCCAGAATTCCTGAGCCAGCGTGGGGGAACTATGCCTCCTTCATGCCTGGTGGACTTCAACTCCCAGAATTCCTGAGCCAGCGTGAGGGAACTATGGCCCCCTCATGACTCATGGACTTCAACTCCCAGAATTCCTGAGCCAGCATGGTTCAGCTTGGAAACCTCTCCCTTTCCCCTCAGCATGGCTGGCTCAGGAATTCTGGGAGTTGAAGTCCACCAGTCATAAAAGAGCCAAGGTGGCCTACCACTGCAAGTTTATGCCGTTAACAATGGATAATTTGACAGTTTTATACAGTATAAGGTTTCGTCCAAGGTTTTACCGGGAAAAACCCGGTTCTTTGCGCAATTAGTTCATCAGGAAACCATAATCGCCACTCAGACAGATATTCAGAAAGATAGACCTACATGATCCATTTTCTCTGGTTTCTCCTCCAGTTCCTCTGGGGAGGGCAAAGGCTTCAGGAGGGAGGTGCAAAACTCGCAGCGACCGATCAGGCACATGTCGGTGACCGAATGTTCCTCAAAGAAACAAGGCATTAATCAAGGTTTAATCCACAGTGCAAAAAGTTTGGTAGGTAAACCTGATTATACACAGGCCACCCAGTATAGCACACCGCTTCTACATTCGTGAAAATCATAGTTTTCATTTAGCGAGAACCTCACATTCACAACTGGGTAGAAAATCAGTCGATGTTGTGACTAAGTAGGGTTTCTTTGTAGTTGTGATGGTGTACATAGAGGATTACGGAGGAGACCCTGGGGAAAACATGCAGCAAACCTTAGCAGAACGTGAAGTTAGCCCTGGAAAACAGGAGGCGGTAAGGAAGAAACTGGAGAGGGCCCCACCTTGACTGCCTTTGGTGAAAAGGGAAGGGAAGGGGAGGGCAGCATCCAAGGCTGACGCCAGCCTTTCCGGATAGGCGGGGATGGGCTATCACAAGGCTTGCTCCAATTCTACTTTATCAAAATAGGCTGTAATAACAAGACCTTGTAGTAACTGAAGGCAGGTGGAGAAAGGGGCTGGCGGATCGATGCTTACTGGAAATAACCAAGGGATCTGCCTGAGACCTGGCTGAGAAAGCTCAGGGGCTTCAGACTTCATGGTGGCACCTTCCTCTCCTCTCCGTGGACACGGCTGCCCCCCCGCAAATGCCCAGAGTGGAGAGCAGAGGCTGTGGCCAGAGAGGAGGGGGCGTGCGGGCCCTGTCAAATGGTAGCCAGCAGGAGTGCAGACTTTGCCTACCTCGAACTGAAGAGTGGTAGAATAGCTGCCTGGCCAGGCTCACCCCGGCAGAGCCCAGAAAAGGCCACTTCTGAAGTGGAGCAGGGAAGCCTGGGGGCAGAGTCCCTCCGTGGCAGACGAGGGCAGCCAGAAGGGGGGTCCTGCCTGCCTCAAGCCCCCTCAGTGAGAGCACTAAGCATTGCCTGCCCACCCTCAGCTGGTCCTTGCGGAAGAGCTCAAGCCCTAAGAATCGCTCAGCTGCCTCCACCGACTTCCTGGCCAACTTCTCCACCACCCGCTCTTCTGGGGGATCATGATTATGATGATGATGGTTACTCTGTTGCTTTGCATGTATGCGGAGGGCTTCTGCACCGGAGACAAAGTCCTTGCGTGTCTCAGCACCCTTCACCAAATAAAGCTAATCTACTCTACTCTACTCTACTCTACAATACTCTACAATACTCTACAATACTCTACCCTTCCCTACCCTACTCTATTCTGTTCTATTCTGGAGGTTTTTGAAAAGACATTGAACCACCATTTGACCAGGATGGTATAAGGTCTCCTGCTCAAGCAGGGGGTTGGACTAGACGACCTCCAAGGTCCCTTCCAACTCTGTCATTCTGTGTTCTATTCTATTCTATTCGATTCTATTCTATTCTATTCGATTCATGCGGGATTCTCCCTTCTCTTCTTAAATAATCGATTCCTCACCTGCTCCACTGATTCCTGGGACAGTGTGAGCATTTAATGAGACTCCTTTAAAACTGTTTTTTTAATCTACCAACCATATAAATTCTCTTAAATAAAATTAAATAAAAAAATAAATAATTCCTGGGGCTTGGTCATTTTGCCATTGTTGAATTATTTGGAATCTTGAATGGAAATGTTGGGTTTTCTTAAGCCTCAGATTTATCCCTTTGGATAATTTTGCAGAGGTAAGCCCTCACATCGGCTTTCCATACAAAAAGCTTTGAATTTGCTTGGTGTGTTATGTTATTTTTAGCTGCAAAATGTCCTGAATTTGCAGCAAAAGCTGGATAATCTTGCTTCAGGGGAAGAAATAATAAATCTGAAATCTCACCTCATCTAGGACAAAAGACTTTATCTTCTCCTCCTCAGAAGTGCTTTCTTTGAGGTTGACAAAGCAATGTATGAAAAAGGATTTCATTAGGGAAGAAAAGAGAAAAGAAAACAAAGTCCCCATAGAAGGGAACCCCCCACTCACTAGCACTGATGAGATTACCTAGTCGGGTTATGAAATGTTTGCAAGCAAAACATCCAAGCTCAGACAGCAGCAAAGACTCCAAAGTTTGCCTTTTTTCACAAAAGAACATACCAGGTGAAATGAAATATATAAAAACTATCTGGGAAATATTCTGAATATACTTACTCACATAACCATTTTAAATAGAAAACCAAGCTTCCTAACTGTGAAAAAAAATCCACAAAAATAATGAGAAATATTTACCAATTTAGGATCGGAACACTTGGACCTGGGAAAATATAATTTAAAAAAAATCCAAAAAAACCCCATATAAGCCTCTTGTCGACTTTGAAAATGAGCATGGCTGCAGCCGTTTTCCCTACTCATTTTCGGTGGACACACAGCACGGAGGGAGCAGGGTTTACCAGGTGCTTCGCTACACTAAACAGATTTCGTCCCATGGGAACCAAGGTCATCGGCTGCTCCCGGGACTGCAGGCTGGGCGTTTCGTGAAAAGCTCACCAAGAAATTGTATTGGGGAACGTAGTAGCTTGCATAGCTTTAGGGGTGGGATTTCTTAACTTTGTATTGGGGAATTCTTAGGTGTCTATTCAGACTTGGTTTCCCTTTTGAAGTGTTGATACTTTGCATCAATAAACATGTTCTTTGAGGAACTTGCAAGCCTCGGAGTTCTGCTTTATTTGTCTCTGTGTGTCGGAACCATGACTCCCCCCCTTCTTTGGCTCTATTTGGGTGATCTAATTAATTAGACACAAGTGTCTTTTCACCTCTATCATGTGCACATTCCTACTCCAGCAATTATGAATGTTATTGGCTATACTCTAGTAGTACAACGTTTTGAACCTTGGCCATTTTAAGATGTGTGGACTTCAACTCCCAGAATTCTCCAGCCAACAAAGCAAAGCAAAGCAAAGGAATTCTGGGAGTTGAAGTCCACACCTCAAAATGGCCAAGGTTCGGAAACAGTGCTCTGGTGGTATGTAATGTGCAGCGATTTATAAAGCAGAGAAGGGATGTGACAGACTTTGGTGGCGCTCTAGAAAGCCCGGTGTGGAACCGTTCAGGGTTTCAGAAGACCTTTAAAACAGGCAGTCCTCAACTTACAACGGCTCATTTAGTGATCGTTCCAAGTTACAACGGCACTGAAAAATGGGACTTATGGCCATTTTTCACACGGCTGTTGCGGCCTCCCTGCGGTCATGTGATCAAAATTCGGACGCTTGGCAATTGGTCCAATTTGTGACCGTTGCCGTGTCCCAGAGTCACTTGACTCCCTTTTGCAACCTTCTGACCAGCAAAGTGAACGGGGAAGCCCGATTCACTTAACAACCGTGTTACTAGCTGAACAACTGGAGTGACCCACTTAACAACTCTGTCAAGAAAAGCTGTAAAATGGGGCAAAACTCACTTAATAACTGCCTCACTGATAAACAGATATTTTGGGCTCAGTTCTGATCGTAAGTCAAGGACTAGTAGAACACAGCGTACCTTGAGTCTCCAGCTCAGTCTCACATACTCCTCCTTCTTCCGTGTGATACAATGTTTCTGCTGAATAACAACAACAACAACAACAACAACAAAGCTATCAAAGTCCTGAACAGATACCAGTCACAAATGGGAGCCTTCCGGAGAAGCCATGGAGCTCCAGGTGCACGAAAGGGAGCAGGAGAAGGGACCCCAGGGAAGGATTCTGGCTGAAAGGGGGACCCTCAGGACGGAGGGATCCCTCGCTCGGTCCTTCCTTGAGCAAAAGGCCTCGGGGATCCTTCCGCCTGAGTGCGGCGGCCCTTCCCTTCTCTGCTCTTCCCCTGGCGATGCTTACGGGCGAGCAGGGGAAAAGGAAGAGCCTGCCTCTCCCATCCGGAGAGGGGATTGTCAAGAAAAGAAGCTGATAGCTTTCAAAATGTGGCAGAAGCTACTTAGGAAACTTCATCTTTTGATCATGTGAACTGGCTCCCTTCAGGGTAAGACAGGTGATAGGGGGCCAACGGAGCTATTTTTCCAATTCGCCCTGGATAGTCCAAGTTCAAACAGATGCCGGCAACATTTTCAAACAACGGCCTGTCTGGTTACTCCTAAAGACTTCCTTCCTTCCTTCCTTCCTTCCTTCCTTCCTTCCTTCCTTCCTTCCTTCCTTCCTTCCTTCCTTCCTTCCTTCCTTCTTCCCTCCCTCCCTCCCTCCCTCCCTCCTTCTCTCCCCCTCTGCACAACTGGTTATTTTAATATTAAAATTTATTATATCTGTTAATGTTTCTATATTAGATAGATAGATAGATAGATAGATAGATAGATAGATAGATAGATAGATAGATAGAGGAGAGAGAGAGAGAGAGAGAGAGAGAGAGAGAGAGAGAGAGAGAGAGAGAGAGAGAGAGAGAGAGAGAGAATCTTTATTATTTTTTACTGTGGGCACAATGGCACACATTAAAAATGAAATTTAGTTGCTTGCTCTCAAAGTGTACACATACATAACACACATTTAAACATACTATATACAACATATGTACAGACCTACACCCTTACATATAAGTAACATATAAATATTAATCACTGTCCATCTTGAATACATAACGGAAGGAGGAAGCTTTAGAGTTGACAAGGTTAATACTGTATGGAACAAAACTGTGAGTGAATCTGGATGTTCTACTTCGGATACCGCGGAGCCCCCCCCCTCCCAGAAGGTAATAAGGAAAACAGTTGTGGAGAGGACATGTAGTGTCCCAGACAATCTTGCGGACCCTGCTCAAGCAACGCTTATGTGCCATCTCCTGGATGGAAGGGAGAGAACTGCCAATAATCTTTTTGGCCGTCCTCACCACTCTCTGCACCGCCTTCCTGTCTGAAGCAGGGATGCTCCCAAACCAGACTGTGATGCTGTATGACAGGATGCTCTCGATCGTCCCTCTGTAGAAAGTGGTCAGGACAGGGGAAGGAAGATGCGCTTTTCTCATAAATCCTAATGGGATTGGAATTGATACCGTACCAGCTTCAGGAATATTAAGGAAATACCGCCATATTTTTTTTTGCAACTTACTGCTTTCTGTGGTCTCACTTTTCTCTTTTCTATCTGTACTTCTCGGCTCCTTCTTCTCTATTTCTACACGAGAGATATTATGGCAAGAATCAAACTCAATGATTTATCAAGAGAATTGCATTAATGTTTGTATCTCACCCTACCGGAGGCCATCCGGCCTGTCTTTGAGCACATCGGTTGAAGAGAATCAGCCTCTCCTCTGAGCCATCCATTTCACCCCTGAACTGCTCTTCCTAACTGCAGGAGCCCCCTCCACTCCCTTGTTCCCAGCCCTCCCCTTGGAAGCCCAGACCCTCAGCCCAGCTTCCTCGAGAACCTACCCTGCTCACTAGAGTCTTCGGAGCTGACGGAGTAGCTCCATTCAGTCTGAGTCTCCAAGTCGGCAACTTCTCGTTTTCTGCAGGAGAGAAAAACAAATCCAGGAAGAAATTTCCTATCAGGAGGCATCGCACAGATGCCCTGTTGTTATCAGAGGGACTATTTATTCACTTAACTGTTATAATAATGTATAACCATATTTAATTAATATAGATAAGTGTACACAATTGTTAAATAACAAATACATTCTTACAAATCCATGAATCAACTAAAAATATCACAATCTTCTCTATAAAGGAGCTGATACTACTGTAATTAGCTTGCCTTATACCAGAAGAAACCAGTCTGAAATATCAAATCAATCTGCAGCAATCAAATCCACAAATGTTTTCCCATAAGCAATTATTTTATTTATTAAATTTACATGCTGCCCATCTTGCTATCCAATTATAAATGGGCAGAGCTTCAGTTATACTTTGGGGGTTACCATCTTGACTTTGTTGTCCTTATTCTGCAGACATGCCAGTGAAATATATAACTCGATAACATTATCAAGTATAGGATGGAAGGAGAGGAAAAAATGATGCATATTAGTGTTTATTGTCTATTCCATTTCAGAATTATTATTCATCTGCAAATGTTTTCAAAATGCTTAGACAAATATATTAAATCCATTTCACAAAAATAAATTATTTAAAATATATATAAGTGTACATTCCTGGAAGTAAGGCCACTGAGAACAGCTGAAAATGTATACTGTATTCATTCATTCATTCATTCATTCATTCATTCATTCATTCATTCATTCATTCATTCATTCTATATATTATAAATCTGTCAAATTAGTGTGTATTGATGTATTTATGTTGGTAACAGTGCCAAAATAAGCACCGCCTCTTACTTGGGTAACTGAGTTTCAGGAACTGGAGTCGACAAAGGTCTTGTCTGGAAATCTACACGGAGGAAGAAAAAAGATTGCTTTTCAAATCATAACAAAAGTGGGGAAATTGTTTTCATTAGCTCTATAAGATACAATACAGTATTATCCACTAATTTGTAAATCCTAAAATACATTAAAGTTGTCACATCTGATTTTTTATTAATTTGTTGGTTAGGTAGGATAGGTATATATCAGGGGTCTTCAAACATGGCCCTTTTATGTCTTGTGGACTTCAACTCCCAGAATTCCTCAGCTAGCGTGTCTGGCTGAGGAATTCTGGGAGTTGAAGTCCACAAGTCATCAAAGGGCCAAGTTTGAAGACCCCTGGTATATATGAAGAAAATAAGCCACAGCTACCTTTTCCTAAAGTTTGATCAGCATTTTCTGGGTAATCTTCATGAAGAGCTCCTGATTTTTCTTCACTTGACACCCTCTGCTCCTTGCTCCCCTCTGTCCTGCTCCCACTCTCGCTCAAAAAGCGGTTGCTCTCTTCAATGTAGGTTTCTATTGACCATTGAGCAAGATTCGATTTTGCCACAGGGTTCTCCTCTTGGTGTTTTTTGACATTTTCAACTGTGAGGAGAGAACTGGAGGGCTTGCTGCTGTCTGGCTTGGACGCTGCATCTGGGGATGCCTCTGAAGGCAACTGTTTTTTACTACCCGATTTTGTGGGGTTTGGGGTCTTCGACATATTTGCAGTGCATGAAACGAGACTGTTTTCTGAAAGAAAAAAGCATTGCTATGTTATTTCTTCAATTAAGATAAATGTGCTTTTCTAAGAAAACATACAATATTTGAATCAATATTATTATATTTGTTTAATGCTGTTTTTGAACTGAGACTTGGCCCTGAGCATCAAAGATTCCAGAAGACATTACAAAATACATCGGTCTGATCTTCAGCAAGTTTTATATTCTCTATCCTCCTGGAAGTCCGGGTGAAACTTCTTTGCATCAGAGGCTTCAGAGCTGAAACAGTATGCATATAATTCCATCAAAATCAGCTTTTTCGTGGATTGTACTAATAAAAGAATTCTGTTAGGGGGTACTTGATCTCCTATGTTTGCTGGAGGACCCAACCAAAGTATGAGTTATAAAGCTGAGCTGGTCAGCATATTCTTTATTAGTAACCCTCCCCAAAGGGAAGAAGTGAAGTGAAATAAAGAAAGTTAGGGTTTCAAACTGGACAGTAAAACAACAGAATTGGTAGTAACTATGATGGCAATGAGGAAACATCCAGGGCGTAGAAATATTCCTTGTGTCCCCTCAGAATGAAGCATCTAGGCCTGGCAGAAGATCCTCCAAATTGCCCAACCACTGTCACGTAGTAGAGGACGGGGGCTTCCATAGAGAGGAAGACAGAGAGATAGCAACCACCATTTTATATCTCACAAATGGAGCACAGCTTTTAAAGGTAGGAAAGCATCAAAGGAAAACTCTACGGAACTAGATCACAGTTCTATCAATTTTGTTCTAGCTATGGAGACAGGGTGAAGTAAAGATTGGAAAATCATTCAAATTCAGATTCAAATCTTTGACTGACTGATTGGATTAGACTGGATTCATTTGATTGAATGATTCAGCTATTGGTGATGCGTGGTTTTTACCTGCCACTCTGCCGCCTCTCTGCTGGCACTAAGGCGGGGGGCAGAAAGCTGCCATCAGTATGAATTTTGCAGATGTCCCTGTTCAGAATGGATGGTTCACCATTCATCCAGCATCCTTCTTAAAATGCCCTGCTGGATGCTTTCTGACAGCCCATGAGAAGGTAATGAACCCCTTTTCACCCTGTCTTCCTAGCAACTGGTATCCAGGTCTAATATTCAGAAGATTCCATGCAGCCATTGTGACTAATAGCTCCAGATCAGCTTATCCTCCATGACATGATCTTATCTTTTCACTTGGTCACACCTGACACCATCAGGATTCCATCAATGAATTCCATATTGCAATTAAATATACATATCAATATTGTGCATCATGAAGTCACTGAAGAAGGGTTATGGTGGTGAATTCTACTCTGATAAGATAAAGCGAGAATTTTAGTGGCAATATATTTGGAGGTTTTTGCCTCTAGAAAATTCTGGATGGAGTGGCTTGATGATGCTTTTGGTTTGCTATTAATTAATATTTATCAAATGTAAACATTTTATCAAACATAAATACATTGCATTTCTTAATGGCATTAGTATTTGGATTAATATCAAATGACAATCCCCTTTGCACCATAGAATGCTAAGATGGCTTAGCTGGTGTCTTCAGCTAAGTAAACAGTATTGGCCTTGAGATTCATTCCCTCTTTTTTAAATAAATAAATAAATAAGTAAACAAATGCTATTGGTCCTGAAACTCATTCTTTCCTCTGTTTGTCTTTAAATAAATACCCTTCTCATTGGGGCTTATTGTTTCCCATCAAACAAAGAAGCATTAGTTTATTTTGAAAAACAAAATAAATACGCCTTTTTTCCTACTTTGATAAATAAATGAATAAAGTGTTGCTAGCCTTCAGACTTGAAACTGTTTTCTCTTTTTTAAAACAAGATTTTAAAAATCCCCTAAAAATATCATTGCTGTAACTGTGAACTCAATGTTCCCCGTTTTTACTAAATAAATAAATACCTAAATAAAGGCGATTTGCCTTGAGAGTCCCAAAGGTGATTTTATTTTAAAGACAGCTGGGATTTCTGATTTTTCTTTAAGAAAATTTTTCCTTTTCTTTAAGAAGCATCAGAAAGCACAGCTGCCTTTAAAAAAAAAAAAAAGCACCTTTGGGACACCAGGACCTGGGTCAGGGGTAGGCAACCTTGGCTCTTTTATGACTCGTGGACTTCAACTCCCAGAATTCCTGAGCCAGCGTGGCTCAGCTTGGAAACTCTTCCTTTCCCCTCAGCGTGCCTGGCTCAGGAATTCTGGGAGTTGAAGTCCACCAGTCATAAAAGAGCCAAGGTTGCCTAGCCCTGACCTGGGTTGAATGGGCGCCTCCTCCGTAGGCACTGGCCTCGAGGCTCGCTCTTCTCCAAGACTTTGAGGCAACCCCTCGTCCAAACACCAGCTGGAGGGAGGAACAATGTCGGGGTGCTCTGCAGGCATTTTGGGGTGCGAGAAAAAGGCTCCTCGAGGAGGGAAGGCAAAGGACTGCAGAGCGGGCTCGGAATCGCCTCCCACGGGTCACTCTAACGCTCGCAAGTCTAGGGTCCGCTCGCCACCCACTTCCGGACCCCCGCACCGGAAGTGACGCCGCTCTCGGCGGATGTTTGCCCGTTTCGGCTTCCGTCGCCCGCGCGGCCCCTCCTTCCGCCTCGTCGGCGCTGCTGCCCTGGGGCGAGGATGGCGGCGGCGGCGGCGGCGGCGGAGCGGCTGAGCTGGTGGGAGCGCCCCGAGCGGCCCTTGGCGCCTCTCAGCGAGCGGCAGCGGGACTCGGTGCTGGAGCTGCGCGGGGCCTCGCCGGGGCTGCCCCTGCCGCCGGAGGTAGGCCGGCCCCTTCCGCGGGAGCTCCCCCGGGGCGCCGCCCGGGTGGGGAGGGCGGGCTTGCCGTGGCAAGTGGTCTGGGCAGGAGGAAAGGAGACCACGCGGAAGCCCCGCGGGAGGGGCGGCAGCGGAGCCCTCGGGGATGAGCGGGAAGGCTGCCTGGGAAGAGGTCGCGGAAGGGGCTCTTTCGGGGCGCCCCTCCTCCCTCCTCCCTCCTCCGATGCGGGGCTTGGGGGTTCTCTTGCAGGCGTCTCCCCCCCCAGCGAGGCAGAAGCCTCGGGGAAACCTCCTGGACATGTCAGAAGTGCGTCTCGCCCTCTTTGGCCGTGCCAGGCGGGGGGGGGGGATTCGCTGGAGGAAGCAATTCTGCTTGGAGGAGTTAAAGATAAAAGGATGCCAGGCTGCCCAAAAACAGGGGCCGGCCGGACACACCATCAGACGCCCCGGACAGAGCAGAGGGCAACTCCCGAGAAGGAGGAAGAAGTGGGGAGAGCAGCTGGGCCAGAGGATCGCCCCAAAGTGGGACACGACTGAATGGATTGTTGTTGTTAGTTGCGAAGTCGTGTCCGACCCATCGCGACCCCATGGACCACGTTCCTCCTGCTTCAGGGACTCCATCCAGCCCCCTCCTTCTCTGTGATTGTCCCCTTCTTCTCTTGCCCTCCATCTTCCCCAGCATCAGGCTCTTCTCCAGGGAGTCCTTCCTTCTCATTAGGTGGCCAAAGGACTTGAGTTTCCACTTCAGGATCTGGCCTTCTAAAGAGCAGTCGGGGTTGATCTCCTCTAGGACTGACCGGTTGGATCGCCTTGCACTCCAGGGGACTCGCAGGAGTCTTCTCCAGCACCAGAGTTCAAAGGCCTCCATTCTTTGGCGCTCAGCCTTTCTTATGGTCCAACTTTCACAGCCACACATTGCAACTGGGAAAACCATGGCCTGGACTATACGCACTTTTGTTGGCAGGGTGACGTCTCTGCTTTTTAGTATGCGACTGAATGGATAACATCGTCATCAACATCATTGGTCTAGAAATGGGGGGAGGGGAGGGGTTGGCTCTAGCAAAGCCTCCTAGCCTTGATGATGGGATCCGGTCTGGGTCTTCTGCAAGAAAACCACCCCGGGCTCCTCCTTTCAACCCTCAGCTACCAAGATTCTCTTTCGTATTGACTGCATATTAACGTTCTGTTATTTTGAAAGTTTAATGTACTGAAACTAGGGAAAGAAAAGTGAAAATTGTATCAATATTACAATTTAGGATGTCAAGATTACATGGGTAAACTTACGTGGCTTGGCTTTTTAGCAGGACCTGAATGTTAATTGCAGTTTAATATTCCAGTTTGGCCCTTGGACCATGTGATTTTTACTGCTACTTGAGGATTGTGGTGTGTTTGTTACGGCCTGATTCTCCCTTGGTATTTAAATTTGACTTGAATGTGTATATTGTATGTATATTTCTAGTATGTAAAGACCTCACTTCAATATTTTATCACTTACAAACCAGATACAGTTTACTTGTACAATATTGTCAACTGCCAGGAGACTTATTGAATGATTTTTTTTTTCTTTGAACAGCTACCCATAGAAGATTTAAATAGTTTTGTCCAGCCATCACTAACAGTGACGCTGACAGCCACGTTGCCAGAATCTACAGAGAACATTCTCTTGAAAGGATTCTCTTCTTTTGGTATGGAAAATGAAAGAATTGAAACGGCCCAGCAGGTAAAAAAAAAAGACACAAAGAAACAGCAAACTCTCTCTGGTTCTGGAATAATACAAAAAACTGCAGATGACCACTTGTGCAGAGATTCAATTGCAAAAGGCAAAGATGATTTGGAGTATCCAGGAAGAATGGGTGTCTTTCTTTGACCAGCCAGAGCCAGGAAAAAATGAACTTGATTTAAGGAGGTTCAAATGGCTGCAACAAGCAAATTATCTTTTCCTTTTCAAATTCATATCACTGCATAGCTCTAATCACTAATTTGGCCGTTAGCTTTCCAATTCCAGTTGGGACTGAAATAACCAGTTCCTGGATAGCTGGCAATGTTGGCCTCTCCTTTCTGCAGTTGGGTCATTTTGAGGAGTCTGATGATGTTAGACTCAATGCATCTAAAGCCTCCTTAATTCTTACCAGAACTCCAGAGTGGGCTTTCAAGTTACATTGGGTTGACGTAGTACATTTCTGTCTCTTTAGCTTGGGTGAAAATGGGAGGGAAAGTGAATGCTGGGATTTGGGAGGGAAGAACCCACAAGTTTATGCAAATAGAAATAATGACAGCGCTTGTGAGCCAGTTTGGTGCAGTGATTAAGGCATCCTGCTGGAAACGGAGAGACGGTGAACCATCTAGTTCAGCCTTCGACACAAAGCTGGCTAATAACCTTGGGTCAGTCACTTTCTCTCAACCCTAGGAAGGAGGCAGTGTCAAAGCACTTGTGGAAAACCTTGCCAAGGTGGAAGGGAAAAAAAATCAGTATGCAGCTCTTTTCAGATTTTAGTTAACATTGATAAAATGTTATTTTCTTCAACAACATTCTTAGAACAACAGCAAACAATACACAGAACGAATTGTCTGCTTCTTCTGAGTTAAGGGTGATGTTTAAGAGCTTTATCCTTTCACTCGTCTAGTTCTTCTCGTGGTTTGATCAACTTCGTGCACAGATGGATCAAGATGAAGAGACCAAATATCGGTCTGTATATATATATATATTTATTCCCTTGATTGTAATTTGAATAACAGTGTATAGTAGCCATCAATAATAACTAATGCAGCCGATACAAACTTTAATTCCTATATCTTGTACACCATCATTCCCCAGCCTTTCCAGGTTGGCGGTCCGGCAGAGGGAGGGGGGAAGAGGGGATGGTTTTGTGCGAGGGCAGGAGTGTGTGCCTGCCGCTCATGCGAGTTGGGCTGTGCGCACACGCATGTGTTGGCCTGCCACTCACGCGGCCCAGTTGCAAATCTGCTGTGGGTTGGGGACCCCTGTTGTAGATTGAACATTGTTTCCTTCCTCCCTTTTTTTCACTTATTCAACAAGTTATTTGGAATCTTAGAGTCATTTTATATAGTCTGTTATTTCTCCAGTTTACCCAGAGCTATTTTTTTCAATGAACTTCTTTCTTTTTTACTATCTCCCTTCCCAACGGAGTGCCTCAAATGAACCACGGTACACATAGAATTAGCGTACGTAATTCTGCATGCAGTAGCTATTCAACAGGCAGTCCAAAATTTCTGCATCGTTTCATCAATTCCCCCATTGCTGCAAACACTTAAAAGCGCTCTGTGGTTTGTGTGCTTCTGTTTCTCCAGGCTGACCAGGGCAGTTTATTCTGGATTTGAAGAGCAGTGTGATGCCATACTGAGTGATGTGAATTGTGCTCTTCAGCACCTTAAGTCACTGCAGGAACAATACCTCTTTGTCTCAACCAAAACAGGAACTCTGCATGAAGCCTGCGAGCAGCTGTTAAAAGAGCAGGTAACTCCAGAGCTGAATGGCAGAAGATCAGCTTTTGAGTTCCCAAGGCCATAAATGCAGGAATTGATGTTCTGGAGTCTAGCATCACATGCCTTAGCTCTCGTATAATTTGGCTATATTTTTTCCCTCTGATGTTACCACAAATGTAACTGTTGAAGAGATGGAGGTCTCAACCATGAGCCAATGGCTTATAAGTAAGAAGAACTGTTATTGTAGTTATTATATTTTTATCCTGCCTTTTATCTATAATTTAGATATAGGTAAGGTGGCATATATGCCTAATATTCCTGCTTCCTATTTTCTACACAATAATAACCCTTTGAGGCAGATTGGGCGGTGTGAGGGGGACTGGCCCAAAGACCCCCAGCCGGCTTTCATACCGAAGGGAAGCCTGGAACTCACCATCTCCTGGTTTCTAGGCCAGCACACTGGAATGAAGACGCCAGAGAGATGTCATTGTAGTACAACTTGCTCCTTAATTATGAATTAAAAAATAATCGATTAACTTAGTTCATTACAACAGCCTTATTGCCCTCTGTATATCACTGCCGTATCAAATTTATATCCAAGTGAAATGTTAGGAAATATACTAAAATGCCAATATAAACAACTTATAAATATTTTGTGATTTTTAAGAGGCAACTAAGGACTTAATGTTGTACGTTATAACATGCTTTTAATTACCTGATAATATTTCTTTCTAAATAGTCAGAGCTCGTGGACCTGGCAGAAAACATCCATCAGAAACTGTCCTATTTCATCGAACTGGAAAATATTAACACAGTAGGTACATTGCTGCCCAGCTTCTTATTTAATAATTGCCATTTTAAAGATTGAAATCTAGTAAACTCAGAAATATACATAGAACTCATTAAAATTTTATTTCAAGTCATCTTTTGGTAGGATATCTTGTGCAACAAAGATAATTAGGGGACTGGAGGCTAAAACATATAAGGAATGGTTGCTGGAATTGGGTATGTCTAGTTTAATGAAGAGAAGGACGAGGGGGGACAGGATAGCCGTGTTCCAATATCTCAGGGGCTGCCCCAAAGAAGAGGGAGTCAAGCTATTCTCCAAAGCGCCTGAAGGCAGGACAAGAAGCAACGGAGGGAAACTCATCAAGGAGAGAAGCAACCTGGAACTAAGGAGAAACTTCCTGACAGTTAGAACAATTAACCAGTGGAACAACCTGCCTCCAGAAGTGGTGAATGCTCCAACACTGGAAGTTTTTAAGAAGAGACTGGACAGCCATTTGTCCGGAATGGTAGTATAGGGTTTCCTGCCTGAGCAGGGGGTTGGACTCGATGACCTCCAAGGTCCCTTCCAACTTTATCATTATTATTATTATTTTGAAGGCTTTCATCCTTAAAGGCAGCAAAGGAGGAAAGCTCTTTGAGGTGTATTAAAACGGTAGATTAAACACAAGACAATAGAGGAAGGTGGAGCATATACACAAGTTACTGAAGGGCCCCTCAGCCACCATTCAAAATTAGCCCTGGTGCTGAAAGGGGGGGGCACTCACAGCAGGTCCCCAGAAGGGGGTCACATGATTGCGATGGGGGCCACTTGGCACACGGTGTGGAATTGCAGTGTCCTGCAGTGAGATGATGGTCCTTTATGACCTTCATTGCCAGCATCTGACAAATCAGTGGGGGAGCTAGTAGGAGATGGAGAAGGGCAATTAGTTCACCTGGGAGGCCACAACCAGGCAGGATCCACCTAACGATGGCAGCCATGCGATGCTGCACTTTGTGGCAGTGTTGCTTAGCAATGGAAATTTCATCCAGGGGCCCAGATCGCTCCACTTCCTCCTCCTGTCCTAGTCAGAGGACCTTTGATTCTTCTCCCCCTATAGAGAACCGGCTGGCATTTTTTCCAAGCCCGTTGAACGGCTGTGGGTTGAGCTCCCTAACTCTCCTCTGTTAATGGAACTGGGATTAAAAAGACGGTCCTTCCAAAGAGAATCCTCAAAGTATAAAAATGGGTACAAAATAATGAGATAATGTTGTTAAAAATATACTATTTTTGGAAAGCACATTGTGTAGTAATTGTACTGAATGGAGGTTTCTTTAGTTGTGCATCTTTATTTATTCTGTACTTTGGTTTGTTTTTGCTCCTGTCAGAAACTGAATTCACCTACCCTGTCTGTCAGCAGTGAGAATTTCATCCCGATGCTGAACAAACTGGATGACTGCATAGCCTATGTTTCCTCCCATGTGGGTATTACTCGTATCCTTCCCAGGGCTTTAAAGGGCATAACCGCGTCGTTCTGGTGTCTTGAGGGTGCTCTCTCCATCTTTCTAATTTTATTTTTGCACGGACTTTGTGTGGGGAGTCACCTGGAGAGCGAGATGAGTAGTATATAAATTCGATTAATAAATAAAGTTATTAATTTCTGTCTGTAGGCCAGAGTAATATCATGAATATTTTGCCTTATGGCCCAAAGACTATGTTCTTTTTTTTTCAGTAGTTAGGTCAGGGGTGTCCAACCTTGGCAACTTTTAAGACTTGTGGACTTCAACTCCCAGAGGTCCACAAGTCTTAAAGTTGCCATGGATGGATACCATAACAAAAATGGCATTTTTGCTTGCTTTTAATTTGGTGCAGAGGGAACTTTGCTTATCTAAAATGCTTCTGCACGTTTAGGTTGAAGCAGGAAATCCGTCATTCCCTTCTTAATTATTTAACTTTTTTATTTGTTCTTGTTTAACACACTTTCCTTCTTTTGCAGCCAAATTTTAGGGACTACGCTGTGTATTTGGCAAAGTGTAACCAGTGTCTTTCTAAAGCGGTGCATCTTATGAAAACATATACTGTGAATACCCTACAGAACCTCACAAATCAGTTAATTAAAAGGGTATGTTATTAATTAATATATATTAAATAGTGTTACATGGGCGCTGAACGAAAATCATCTGCAAAAATGTCCTCAGCAGTGTCTTATTGGTGATGCAAGGATGGGCAACTTGGTTTTGACCAAGGGCTGCATTTTCTGTCGGATGAAATAAATACCCCCCTTTGGTGTTCTCTGTTCACCCAGCCCCCCCTTTCCATTTTGTTAGGACTTACGTTCAGAGACAGAGAGATAGAAAGTTGGATTCAGAAAACCCCCCAAAAAGACAAAACACTTTTTCACAGGACTTTGTATCCCTAGTTCAGTCCTCACTGGCTCAAGGTTGACTCAGCCTTCCTTCCGAGGTCGGTAAAATGAGGACCCAGATAGTTGGGGGGGGGGGCAATAGGCCGACTCTGTAAACCGGTTAGAGAAGGGCTGAGAAGCCCTGCGAAGCGGCATATAAGTCTCAGCGCTGTTGCTAGGAAGTTTTGCTTCCATAACCGGTTTTTGCCCTCAGCCATTCGCTACACTTTACTTTTTTGCTGTGCTGGCAGTTTGTGCTTCCAGGTGTCGATTCTGACAACTTCACCAGATCTCTGTGTTCTAGAACAAGGGTTTGCGTGTGGTTTCTACTGCTTGTGGTTCCCCAGCCTCCTCGGGAACCTGGCCCTGGCCCTGAATCCATCGTGCATATTTTTTTCCCCCTGTTGTGCAATAATACAGCAGGGGGATACCTTTCTGTTTCTTTCAGGATCCTTTGGTTGCTCCAAATTCAGACAACGCCTTTACTTTATTTTATCTGAAGTTCAGAGCTGCTGCACCCAAAGTCAGGGTAAGTCAGGCAGTGGAGGGTGATTGTCAGAAGGAACATAACATTATTGTGAAAGGTTATTTACTTTATACTCAAACAAAACTTACTCGTTTTGTTTATGTATTCCCGTCGGCTTACGAGAATACATTAAAAATTGACAGTTGCACTTAGTGCTGAGATCCACACTCTGAAGCTGGGTCTGTGGCCAAAGCTGGGGGGTGGATGGGTGCTGAAGATGCTTCCTTCACGTCCTGCACCGTGCAGGCTTTGGTGTTCACCTAGAATGCTGCCGTATAACTGGGATAAAAGCCAGCTCAGCCAGCTGGACCAGCAGATGGTTCAATTTGCAAGATCATAGCTGACGTCCAATTAATCCTCTTTTTATATAATTGAATCAAACTTTTGTTATATTGGCTTCACTTCGCTATCTCTTAGTCTCTGGAATTAGCTGCTTTACCTGAACATGTTGGGAATTGGGATTTTATATTCTTTCTCTGCTGGGTCATGGAATTATACCTGACTCTTCATTTTTTTAAAAAACATTGGGCGATTTGAATTAGGACTGAAGAGGAAAGGCATTTAGTCTAGCAGGACAGAAAGGTGAGTTTTTTTTCACACAGGAAATTCATAGGTATTTCTTCAGAGAAGAGTCTCTTTTGGAGTGTAGAGAGGATTCTGGGGAATTAATGAATGGGATTAAAAGAAAAATTGGAACAGGAAAAAAACTTTATTTGAGGAATCCTTTACCTTTATTTTCTTTCCTCTGTTTCCCTAGACGCTTTTTGAACAAATCGAGCAACGATCTGAGAAAATGCCAGAGTACGTAGAATCTTATTTATTGCATTTTATATTAAAATTAATGCAAAATACTATTCTGTGGATTGAGGCACAGGAAGGTGCCACCTGATCCTCATTCCGCCCTTGAGCACAGCAGGCCCGGTTGGGGAGACCCCCCCCTCTGGCCCCAGTGGGGCAGCCTCTGGCTTCCCTTGGACTGGGAGGGCCTCCTTTGGCCCCCTCTGCTCAGCTCAGCTAAGGGCTTCAGGACTTTGCGAGCAGCTGGAGACAGATGAGGATGAGTAACTCTGTGGCCAGCATGCAGGAGGCCACCTGGAGGAGGAGTTTGGGGATACGACTGGCTTCTCTGCCCTCGGAATCCCTTGTGAAGACCCCCGAGAGCTCCTTCGCTTTCAGTTAGTTTCTGGTCTCTCCGTTATTCTCACTGCACTTCTTAAAATCTGTTCGCACTTCTGTGGTTTCTTTTTTGAACTGCATGTAGTACTAGGGGTCCTTTAAGCCCAGGATAATTTCAGTCCATCATCCTTCCGTCCTGGAACCCCTAGAAAGAGAGATATTCTCAGAGCTGCTGAATTCTGCCTAGGCAGCACTGTGCCACTTCCTTTTTAAAAAACAACAACCATTAAACAGTTTTACAGTGGTAGAAGCCGGTGCAAACTGAAATCGGAAGAAAAAAGAATAGAAAAGAAGAAATACGAAGTGCAAAAAGGGAAAAAAAGAAAATGGAGAGAAAGGAAGAGAAATGGAAAAAAAGGATGGAGAACTAACTCCCCGTCTTCCTTGCAACAAGGAGAGGCAGATTGATGGCTCCTCCATCCCCTGGGGCAGGGGTCTTCCAACTTGGCCCTTTTATGACTTGTGGACTTCAACTCCCAGAATTCCACGCGTGCCTGGCTGAGGAATTCTGGGAGTTGAAGTCCACAAGTCATAAAAGGGCCAACTTTGAAGACCCCTGCCCTAGGGGATTACATAACATAGCTCCCTTCATCTCCCCCCCCACACACACACCATTTACCAATCCAAAAATTGTTGTCATTTCTGTCCAAATGTTGGCAAAAATTCAATAAAGGTTTCCAGAATGTTCTAAAATATTCCATGTTTTAGCCACAATCAAAGAAGCCAACTTTATATTCCTTTCTTTTGCTTCTAGCAACCAACTGGAAGCAAGCAATCTTTTGATAGTTTTTTTAAGCTGAAGATTTGTGTAGTTTTCTGTGTTAGGATTATTTTTAGGTGACTGGGCAAGGCAGCCTCTCGTAAGCCGGTGAGGCCATAAATGGCTGAGTATTTCCAGGGTTGTTGTTTTTTTTTAATGGACATCACTGAAAGGCATTTAAAATTATACCTAACGTTGAAAATGGCACAATAGCTGCACTGTTGTTTCACAGTGGTTGTCTACGTAATTTCAGTCATGCAGATGACTGCAGGCAGCCCCCCCCCCCCCCCCAAAAAAAAAATCATTCACTTTTTATTGCCCATTCTTAGCAGAGAAGAAAACAGAGAACAGGGATATAAAAAGTGATGTGTTTACTATCTCTAAAATGTAATTTCTCTCTGACACACATTATTTCTCTCCCCCGCCCCATTGTCTAGATATCGGCAACTGTTAAGTGAAATCCACCTCTGTTACCTTCATCAGAGGGAACTCCTGTTGGGGCCCAGCATTACCAGCACCGTCACAGAATTAACACATCGAAACAACAGAGATCACTGTGCTCTGGTAAAATCGCGTTTTTTTGCTGTCTTATCTTTCTCTGTTTTCATTTTTTTTATTGAATTGTTGGCTCCTTTTGAATTTAATAGAGAAATACTTTGCTCACATAAAAATATGTTTTTTTTAGCTTTCAGTGAAATGTATTTTTCTCTCTCAGTTTTATCATGCAGCAAGCCTGATTTTTTTTTTTTTAACAATTCCAAAAGAGATCAAAATTGCCTGGGGGACTTTGATTTTATTCGGCCAATATTCTTACAGGCAGACACGTTTTTAAATTCGTCGTGATTTGAGAGATCCTAGAGAGAGAGAGAATTAATTAACTAAGGTTGGCTAAAACCTGAGTAGCGTGTGTTGAGTAATTGTGCTTCCTAATCTGACTTTGCAATAGTCCTTTATATCTTGGCTGAAACTGCAAGCAACATTTCTTTTAATAGCATCGGGTGACAATCCAGTCCATAAATTTAGGGCTTGGAAAGCAGAAATGCCGGGGCTCAGCCAGCCATGTGACTCTACTGCTGCTCTGGTCTGATAGCTCAGGGACCTGCAGTAAAGTATTCCTAACTGCCAAGTCATCATCCTTGGTAGACTTCAGCAGTAGGGGAACAAGTTCAGGGATCATAGCAATATGTCTGTGCATCTGTTCTTTTTTTTTTATTGCTCTCAGGTACGAAGCGGCTGTGCTTTTATGGCTCACGTGTGCCAGGACGAGCATCAGCTCTTTGACGAGTTCTTCACAAAGCCAACACCCAAACTGGAGTAGGTGATCCGTGTAATATTATCATTTATCGTACGAAATCCCACTTAGCAGTGTGGAGAGAAATTACCCACTTATCCATCTGCTTTTGGCTGGATGCCTTAGGTTTCGTTTTTTTGTTGGAAAGAGCCAGCCACTTATTAACACTTCCGATCCTTTTGATGTGTTTTTTTCTCCTCTTTTTTAGTCAGCTCTTGGAAAAGCTGTGCTTGTCGTTATATGACGTCCTCAGGCCGCTGATCATCCACGTAATTCATCTGGAAACTTTGTCTGAACTTTGTGGGATCCTTAAAAACGAAATGCTGGAAGATCACGTGCAAAACAACAGTAAGTGCAACAAATAAGAATGAAACAATCAAGGTAAGGGGGAGCATTTTAAACATCACTGGAGGGTGTGTGCAGGTAATCCTCCACTTGCAATCAATCGCTTAGTAACCTTTTCAGAATTACAACGGAACACACACACACACACACACACACAAGCTCCTTACCACCCAGTTTCAAAGTGTTATGGCTGCTGCAGTTATTCACCCTGACACAACTGACCGCAAGGATGCTGTAGTTCACACACGCACCACCAATCTTAACATTAGTAATTAATATTATGTAAACGTTATCAAATAAAATTGTTCTGGTTTTATTCTTGGAAGTCTGTCCGTCCTCTGCGGAGTCAGTACTTTGTTCCCTGTTGGGAAATGAAATACAGCGGCAAGTAAAAAATGTTTACAACGAAGAGATCGATCCTAACTTCAGTTCAGGGTCTTTATGGCAATACTGTTTGCATCTGGACAGAATTAGTGGATAGAATTTTTTTTTTTATCATAACTGGGAGAAAGTTGAAGAGAGGGTGACTTTAATTTTTTTTTCACAGTGAAACAGCTGGGTGCTTTCGCTGCTGGAGTGAAGCAGATGCTGGAAGATGTTCAAGAGCGTCTGGTGTACAGGACCCACATCTACATCCAGACGGACATTCTGGGCTACAAGCCTGCCCCCGGGGACCTGGCCTATCCTGCCAAGTTGGAGATGATGGAGGTAAGGGTTTGGCAGAGGAAAACAAAGCGTTGTCTTGACAGGAGGGGGCCGTTAAGGATGACGAGCATGGCGGACACCGGCTCACTGGCTGACAATGTTCGTACTTCCAAAATAAAAATTATTGTTATTGTGAGGAGTCAAACATTGCCATGCGGTCCCTGAGTTTGAGGCATCGAACTGTGTTGAGAAGCTCGTGAGAAAATAATGGAGAGGGCACAAAACTCTCTCCATTTTGCCCCTCCCCTTGCACGTCCATGTGGACAACTTCCTAACAGTGAGGACAATTAACCTGTGGAACAGCTTGCCACCAGAAATCGTGGGCGCTCCATCACTGGAGGCTTTTAAGAAGAGACTGGACAGTCACTTGTCTGAGATGGTATAGGTCAGGGGTAGGCAACCTTGGCTCTTTGATGACTCGTGGACTTCAACTCCCAGAATTCCTGAGCCTGCCTGGCTCAGCTTGGAAACCTCTCCCTTTCTCCTCAGCCTGGCTGGCTCAGGAATTCTGGGAGTTGAAGCCCACAAGTCATAAAAGAGCCAAGGTTGCCTACCCCTGGTATAGGCTTTCCTGCCATGAGCATGGGGTTGGACTAGAAGACCTCCAAGCTCCCTGCCAATTCTATTCTAAACTAAATCTATATAAACATATAGTCCTCAACTTATGACCACAATTGAGCCTGTAATTTCTGTCACAAGTCATTAAGCAAAATGCCCACTTGGGGTCGATGGCTTTCTTGTACAGCAACACCGACTGATGTCGAATGAAAATGTTATCCTCTAAATAAGATTCAGTATTATAATATCAGTCAATCGTCTGCGACACCAGACTCTATTTTTGCAGGAAGATTTTTAGCTCCAGGGAATCATTCTGTATTGAGCGAGATCAACTCTGAGGACAGAGAGAGAGAGAGAATTATAACAAATAATAAAATAAGCAAAACGTTTTTTATGGGCTTCTTCACAAAACGGGTTTTTCCTGGCAGCAAATTGCCCAGAGCTTAAAAGAGGAGGAGAAGAAGCTGCCCGCTGAGGCTTCTTTGCCAGCTCCGAAGCAGGAAGATCCAGGCAGCTGCAGTGAGGTAAAACTTGGTATGTATGTGCACTTGTGCAAAGTTGTGTCCTTGAAAAAGCTTGCTGGTAATAATTGTATTTGGACCCCTGATTCTCGGTATCTGAAAATCTCATGAGGAAAACAGACACAAACCACTTCACTGGCTTGTGAGGATCGGTCTTAAGTCTCTCTTCGAAAGATTGTACCAGTTGTTACTGGTAGGTTGTCATTTTCTGAACATTGTTTGGTTTAAAGCAGTGTTTCTCAACTTTCACAATTTTAAGGCATTGTGGACTTCAACTCCCAGAATTCCACAGCTGGCAATGCCGGCTGTGGAATTCTGGGAGTTGAAGTCCACATGCCTTAAAATTGTCAAGGTTGAGAAACACTGGTTTAAAGGATGAAGATTGAGCCTTGCCCGGCCTTTCAAGAGCCCCTGAGGCTTCAGTCGCTCAGACGCTTCCTTCGGGTCTAAGTACAGCGGATGGTGTAACACGGTGCCGTACGGAGACGATCCCTTACTATCGAATCTAGAAACGGACAGTTTTTCAAACTTGGCAACCTGAGGATGTGTGGGGACTTCAACTCCCAGAGTTCCCCAGCCATCTACGCTAGCTGAGGAATTCTGGGAGTTGAAATCCACATTATCTTCAAGTTGCCGAGCTTGAGAAACACTGATCTAAACCATCTCGCAGAAGGGAATGGTGCATATTACACAGGGAACGTGTGACTGTAAAAGCTTCTGAAGAATTTTGAGTTTTGAGACCTCCTTTGTGGCAGTTTTGAATGCTTTTCATAGGCCCAGCAGGCGGTAATCCTGTGCAATAACTGGGCATCTTTAAATATGCGACCTTCTGTATTCACAGACACGTCGGAACCTTGTAGTCCGAGAGCCCACAACACCGTCTCCCCCGCCGACCTCCACGGGATGTGGTATCCCACCGTGAGGAGGACCCTGGTCTGTCTCTCCAAGCTTTATAGGTGCATTGATGTAAGCAGTTTTCGGTTCACTTTAAAACTTTCTTTTAAAATTTCAAGAATTTTAGAGAATGCACATGTTAAGACCAAAGTTGGCACACTGAAATATTGTCTTCAGTGCATACAAAAAACAAAAAAACAGGCTTTGTTTCACATCACACAGCGTAAGATTTTTGATGGCTACCCTTCTCTAAAGTTAGAATTAAGACAGAAAGTCAAATCCTGAGTTAAATCTGATAGGCTTTTAATAGCTCCGGCATTCGAAGTTTATGGCAGCGGTTTCACAGAACTATTTAGAGCTAAAGTTTATCCTTTGATAATGTACATTTCAGTTTTAAGTGCACAATAGTAGCCTAATGATCCATTTGCAGCTGCAGAATTACAAATCACTTCACTTCTGAAATATGAATTCCCTCCCGTATCGTATGTTTTGCACTTCTTGACTTTACCTCACGCTTATTTTAATTTTCCCCAATGTGTTAAAAATTAGAATGGCACGGACAAATGTAAATTTTTAAAATCAAACGTGGGAAAACGTAGATCTTTTATTAACTTGCCCCGCTGTTTCAGGTTTATTCCCTGGTAAGTTTTAGGTAAATAAATCACAGTTAACCATGCAAAATGAAGGGTGCCGGCTGTATAATCTGTGCTGGGTGAAATTAAAATGGTACGTTCGACCTCTTACGAAAAGCTGCCTCTTTTTCCCTCCTCCAGGGAACGGTCTTCCAAGGACTATCCCAGGAGGCACTCTCGGCCTGCACACAGTCCTTGTTGGCGGCTGCAGAGGCTATTGCTAAAAGCAAGGTCAGAAGCAAGAGGGGGAGGCATTGGCGGCTGGATTCAAGGGGGGGGCAGGGGGGGTTGCCCTGATGAAACGGAGGCCGTCCAGTTTGCCTCCAGTCGGTCTGTGTGGCCTCAAAACTGCTTCTGGCTTATTTTGATCAGTTCCAGGCCGGAGCTCTTGCGTCCACCTGCCGTGACCTGTGTTGTTCTTGTATTTAGACACAAATCGACGGGCAGCTTTTTCTAATAAAGCACCTTTTGATTCTTCGTGAGCAAATTGCTCCCTTCCACACTGAATTCACAATTAAGGAAATTTCGCTGGATCTGAAGAAAACCAGAGGTATTGACTTGTAGGGAAGGGCCGTGATTTAAGGGATCCCATGCGGCAGCAGGGATGGGAATCCCTTCAGCCAAAGTTCCTCTCCCCGACTGATGTCAGTCCTCCTGGGTAACACCAGGCAGGAAACAGGGCTAGATCAGCTAAGTGCACTTTAGTGTCAGGCTGCATTAACGGAATCTTGCAAGCCTTCCGTTGTCCATAGAAGGTGTTTTTGGTCAGAAATTGGAATGGGTAGATAATGATTTGTACTCTGTATGGTTTGAGTACATCTCAATAAAAACTTCATCATAGGCTGAATGTCCTAGGGAGATTCTCAGCCATCCAGCTCATGGTTGTCCAAAAGATGCTTTTCTGCAGTTCCAAGGCGGCTCCACAAACACCCTGCACAAAGCACAGCTTCACAACACACACTCCTTTGGGCAGTTCCAAGGAGGCTCCACACCCATCCGCACCACTCAGGTGACCTTGAGGATGCAGGTAAACCTCCAGATGGCCTCAACGATCCTTTAAAAGAAGGCAAATGCCCAGCTGTCTGTATAAATCCTGCCATTCCCCACCATCCAGTCAGAGCTGAAGATGCTTCTTGGATGAGAAGCGAAACCTCTTCAAAGAAAAAACAAGAAAGTCCAGTTGCCTCTTGAAAAAGCACCTGTGGGACAACCCTGACCTGGAGGACGGAGAACCTCCATGGTCTTTTAGCCCTGCACTTTGGGATGAACACCCTTTGAATGGTGTGGGAGTATGAACGGATTTTCAGGGGGAAAAAATGCAGAGTACAGGAACCATTTGCACTACTCAGGTGACCCTGAGGACACAGATAAACCTCCAAGTGGCCTCAATGATCCTCAATGCTGGCTGTGGAATTCTGGGAGTTGAAGTCCACATGCCTTAAAATTGTCACGGTTGAGAAACACTGCTCTAAAAGAAGCAAAGTACCAGCTGTCTGCAAGGAGTATAAATCCTTCCATTCTCCACCATGCAGTCAGAGCTGAGGAAGCTTCTTGAATGAGAAGTGAAACGTCTTCAAAGAAAAACAAGAAAGTCCAGTTGCCTCCTGAAGAAAAAAAAAACACCTTTGGTTTTTCTTCCTACACAGAATTTAAGAAAACTCAATATTCTGTCTTTGGCTTTTCTTGCCTGTCAGAATTTTATCCAGTGTTTATTCACTATAAAAGCAGAGTTACTGATAAAATTAAAGAGGGTGGTAGGTGGGGTGGTGGATATGTGTACAAAAGAAGAGAGGGAGGAATAGTACATCGATTTCAAAGGAAAAAAATGAACTTATTTCAAGGGGCTCTGGTACATATTATTACTTAAGATACAGACTTCAAAGGAATTACAGGAAAACCCTCTTGGAAAAAGCATCTTTGGGATTATCAACAGGCTGGATATTACTAAGAAAACATCACAGTTACATACTGCATACGTATGATTTCTGTGTGATCTTCAAAATTTGCATGAGAATTCTTACAAGTTCCATTCGATTTGAATGCGTAAGACAAATATTCATAAATATTCCTTAAAACAGTTCTCTTTTCACAGATGCTGCCTTTAAAATCCTGAACCCCATGACCGTCCCACAGTTCTTCAGACTAAGTAGCCACAATGCAATTATACAGTTCTTACTGGAGGTAAAGAACACCTATTGAAATGTTGACGGGCGTGAGAAAATAATTTTGAGGGGTGTGGCAATTTCTGAAGGCCCCCCCCTGCCTTTCTCTTGCAGGGCACCCCAGAAATAAGGGAACACTACATCGACTCCAAGAAGGATGTGGATCGGCACCTGAAGCTGGCCTGCGAGCAGTTCATCCAGCAGCAGACTAAGCAGCTGGTGGAGCCCTTGCAGGAATTCCTGTCCAAGGTATTAAAATACTAGAAATCCACTATTATCATCTTGATTAGCCCGTCTGGCCTGTTTAGGCTTGAGATTTTGTTTTATATTTTGCTTTCTAAGAAAGAAAAAGACGACCTGTGAATGGGCAGATTCGCTGCTGGATGCCAGTTAAAAGGGCTCCGGGACATAAGAAACCTTTTGAGTCAACTGAGATGCTGTCTGTGAAGTATTATACACCTATTTAACACACTCTGTATATTTTCTCTCATTCCTTTAGGTTTCGGCCTTGACCGCGGTGGTCTCTGCCAGGGGCCCCAAATACAACCTCTCCCAGCAGCCTTGGGCACAACCAGGTAGGTTTTTTCCAACAGTGAAAAACTCTTGTGATCTCTCCACGACGGGTGTCAAACTCTCAACGTCACGTGACGTGTCGCAACATATCGTGACTTTTCCCCCCATTGCCAGAGCTGGGATAGGTGCGGTTTTGGCATGAGACATCCGGCCTGTGGGCCGGCAGTTTGACACCCCTGCTCTGTGAGCCTTGTTTATTTTGAAGGCTTTTTAAGTACAATCACAGTTGCAAGTTTTAGTCAGTGGCTACAACCCACGGGTTTTGGTTGCTCTCCAATCAGCTGCAAATCTGTTTCCAATTTAATTAGGCAAAATTTAACATTAATGGAAGAAATCAATGTTGTATTTTAAAGTGGAAACCCTCTTAAGTCTGCTTGGTCCTTCTTAGCTGCCATCCCACAGGAGGGATGGTGGCACATGACTTACAACCGATCGCTTACTGACCTGCTGAAGTTACAACAGGTGTAACAGTTTTGTAACTGTTACAAAGCAGTGGGTTTGCTTAACAACTGCCCTGTCCGCTTAGCCCTACTAACCCTGCAGAAAAGCTCCTAAAATCAGGTCCAGGCACAGGGTGACTTGCTTCAAAGCTATCACAACTTGCAACTGAAATTGTGGGGCTCAACTACAGCTATAAATCAAGGATTCCTAATAATCACATTCTTAAATGTATTATTTGTTCCCACACTTTGTTGTTGATTTTAGAGTGATTTACCTACGGATATAAAAATGTAGTCAGTGAAAAGAAAAGCACCCTAAAACACAAAAGAGAGAGATTGCCCAGAACTGTTTCGGAAGAAATTCTGTGGCGTGTGAGTCTTTGTGTGTGTTTTATTTACAGTGAAGATCAGTGACTTGGTGTCATCAACATACAGGAGGATAAAAACAAAACTGCCGCCAACCTTACAGAGCATGTCACTTTATTTGTCCAATAAGGACACCGAATTCATCTTGTTCAAGCCCGTGAGGGTAAGTCTTTGGTGTTATTTGTAAATACGTGCTTAACACCTTCACCTTTAGATGAAATTCCTGTTCTGCATTATTGTGCTTGGCACCATTATTGCAAGATTGAGTGGAAGCCCATCGCACAACCTTGGAGCCCAGCATTTGTATATGTGCTGCTTTTAGGATAATGAAATCACAAGTATTTTTCTCTCTTTTAAGAACAATATCCAGCAAGTGTTTCAAAAGCTGCATGCGGTCTTAAAAGAAGAATTTAGTAATGAAGATCTCCAGATCATAGCTTGTCCATCAATGGAACAGGTATCTAACAGCTTATTTTCTTGTCTTTTTTTTCTTTTAGTTTCTCTTTTTAAAACTATTTGTCCTTTATTTTGGGAGTGAAATTTTAGGTACAAAAGTTTATGGGGAGAATGTAGAAAGGCTGGACAAGAGGACATGGGTAGTTTTAATTCCGGAAGAAACTGCCAGTGGACATCTGCTTTATAAACTTTCAAGGAAGTCATTTGTGCTTCTAAAAAAATAAATATACTTTTGTCTTTCAGGTGAATCTCCTTTTGTCAGTAACAAAATAATGGATCTGGTAGCCCAACTGCACAATTCTTCTTCATGCCATCCACGGTGGTCGGAGGCCACCAGCCTAGTTGTGCCTTTCGAAAAGCGTTGGCCTTTGTGCATCCAACTTCTCTTGTTGCTGGAAGGAGGGGAAGAGTTATTGTTGCTGTCTGCAAATTCAGAAACGTCTCTTTCTCTGGCGGCACCTACACGGGTGAAAGCAGCCCTTGTCCTTGAGCTCCTCTGTTCTGTTTTGTATCCAGAGAAGATCTCTCCCAACTTTCTCAGCAGAATTTGGAACACTCCAATTTGGAGAATGGATGCCTTTTGCTCAAAATCTGTACATCAGGACCACTTTGAAGGACACATCCAAGCCTTCCCACAAAATTCTTAGTAGTATTCTCCAATAATTAGCACTATTACATTGCTCATACATGTCAACAAATCATCAGACTTTGTAGAGTGTAAGTGGTAATGGTGGATTTATGGAAGATGCCATATAATCAGTTTATTGTATAGGTACAGCACTTAATGTAATCTACTTCGATACATCAGTGGGGTTTTTTCCCCAAAAAAACCTTTATACTGATGAATGCTGACATTGTTCTGGTTTTATTCCTTGCAAATAGATTGCTTCGCTTTAAAATTATGTCTACATGTTATGCAGAAAATATGGTGCGGTGATAATAAATTCCCATTTAATAGGTTATGACTGAACTAAAGTATGTGGAAAGCGTGATGTGGAAAGATTGGGAGAATGGAGTATGTAATGGAAGTGTAAAGCTGCAAGATCTGGTGCAAAAATAGAAGCAAGCTCTTATTTTTTTCATAATTAAATTTTACTTGAATTAGAGCAGTGTGTTTGTTGCTGTGAAGTTACAAAAAGACATGCCTTTTGTATAAATTGATTGTGCATTTCTGCCGGGCATGGAGAAGTCTTGAAGTTTGCATCTAGTGTATATTGTATTATAAATAAAATAAAAATTTTATATTGTTCAGGGAACACAGGTAATTTTTAAATGATGTGTGTGTGTATAATCTTTCTGTTTAAAATATTGGTATTCGGAAAACAGCTAAATTACTAAAAGTTTTGCAGAATCCAGACTGTTCTTTATTGCTCTGTTTAATATTAGCACTCATACTGTTTTAAAAATTTTATGTTTCAATTCTTTAGGGAGATAAATTAATTTTAAAGAACTTTAAAATAACTGAAATTAATATTTGTAAGCATTAGAATATCAATGACATCAGATTTCATTATAATCTAGTTATTGGTACCCTAGTTAAGTGAAACACACATATTTAAAATAATCTGCTGTGAATTTTGAGTAGAGAGATTTTCAATCAAATAGAATGTGAATAAGTGTATTGTATCTTTAAAAAGTTGGAACTAGGTAATTTAAATGCTTTACTTTCTAAAACAGAATATCTTCTATTACGAACATAGATATTATTTTATTACTCAAGTGACTTTTCAAATCACAGAATAAATATAACCTGTACAGGTAATTAGATAAATAAACAGTGTATATAATTTTCCTAATTTTTCCGTGTGATCTTGTTCTCATTAAAATAGAAAGCTTTGCTTTCTTATTCTGGGAGGGTTTTGTTTTTTCCAATATTCCTTAGGAAAATTACCTTGTTAAAGATTTTTAGATCTTAATTGCAGATGCAGAAATATTCTTCACGGCATAGCTCTCCCACTTAAAACTTCTCTTTAGGTCCTTTTGAAAAAGCATGTGCTGTCGGCTTAACTGGGGTAAAGAAGAAAAAAAACAACCCTTCAAGTTCTGTATTGAAAACAAATTACATGGTTATTTTATGTGCATGTAGCTAAAGTGATTAAAAAGACCCAGAAGAGATACAAAAGGAAGGCTGGCAGAACATCTCAGGGGGTCTGCCTTTTAAAGAGATTTAGATGGTAAATACAATTGGGCCCTTCAAGAAGAGGATAAATTCAAATAAATCTCTAGCCAGGATCTGGTTTTTCCATTATTTATGTTTTCTTTATTTAATTTTTTATGTTTATTTTATTTATGTATGTTTGAGGCCTTGTTGACTACTGGCAACTACCTGGACTCATTCTCATCCTTGCAGTTTTCTTGGCAAGATTTTGGGAGCGGGTTGCCATTGCCTGCTTCCTAGGGCTGAGAGAAAGTGACTGGCTTAGAATCTCCCAGCTGGCTTTGCCATACCAGATGTTTTCCTGAGTCTTCCCTCAAAATGTCACCAATACCAGCCCTGGAGTCTGAGATGACGAGAAAAAACTATTGCTGCCAGAATCAATTCTTGAATTAGCTAATACAGGTAATACTCATGTACATCTACCCATACCCTCCTCCCAAGGAAAACAGGGTGTGAAGAGGGTGTGTAGCATCCCAGACAATCCTGCAGACCTTGCTCGAGCATCATTTATGTGCCACGTCCTGGACTGAAGGGAGGGAACTGCCAATGATCTTTTCTGCCGTCCTCACCACTCTCTGCACCGCCTTCCTGTCTGACGCAGGGATGCTTCCAAACCAGACAGCGATGCCGTATGACGGGATGCTCTCGATCGTCCCCTCTGTAGAAATTGGTCAGGACAGGGGAAGGAAGATGCACTTTTCCCATGCGACGCAGAAAATGCAGGCGCTGCTGTGCCTGCCTCACCAGTGTCTCCCTGTTGAGCAACCAAGCTAACCTGCTCGTCAACTGCACAGCCAGAAACATGATGCTACTAACCACCTCCACAGCTGAATTAAAATTCAACTCCCATGGTAAATAAGTTTGAATAACACCCTGATCTAATAGGAGGCAGTTCGTTTACTTTTAATAAAGTTTACAATACTTCCTAAGCAAAATAAAGGTAAAATCAGATAGCAAGAGGAACAGACCAAGATGTTTTCCCCAAGTCTTAAGAATATTTGGGGTAGCAACGAAGCAGAATGTTTGCATCCTCAAACTTCCTTCTTGGGGAGGAAAAAGCCCGCCCTAAAACCAGTTTGCAAACCATGTTGGGCACCGCCTGGAACGGCTGGGATTAGAGGGCAGTTCATAAACCACCGGAGAGGAGCCGTCGAAAGGTCAGTCTGGGAAAAGACGCAGTCCGGCCATTGTGTCCGGCCCTCTGAGCGGAATGTGTGTGGTTCAAAGCTCACCCTCTGCCAACAGCAGCCAATTGACTTAGCATTAAGGCTCTCGATTGCTATGGAAACCCTCTGAAGAGCCCCTGAAACTGACCTGGAAACGCAAGGAGGAAGGCAAAAGAAAGCTGCAGAGCTCAATCTAAAAAAAAATAAAAATAAGGGGGGGGGGAGTCTCTAGAGAGGTGGAAACTCACCTGGCCTTGCAAGGTAAACAATTAAGAAGCCCTCCGAACTGACCTGACTCTCTGAAAGCCACCTAGAGCTGCAGAAATATTTTAGCCCAAACCAGAGGCAGCATCTTTTCTTAAAACTGGTCTAGAAACTCAAAAGTAATTATAGACGTGAAGGTTTCAGAAGCCTCAGCAACTACCAAATGTGAGATACAAGCAGTCCTCGTTTAGCAAACCCAATTGGGACTGGCAACACGGTTGTTAAGTGAAGCAGTCGCAAAGACTCGGGTCTTTTAAGTCAAGTGCAGGTGTATCCAACCAGAGACAGATGAAATAACACCTTTATGAAGCTGGCGACACGAGTGCACAGTGAGGCCAGGTCTTTGGGACGGATCCAGCCCCTGCCTAGGAAGGAGGATGGTTTGCAAGCCCACCCCAGGCCAGTGGGCCCTTTCAGAGTCGGTCCCCAAGCTCTGCATCTTCACACAGAGAATGAGAATGCCTGGATTAGGCCATCCCGAACTGTTCCTGATGAAACCCTGTCACCCTAGAGCTGAAATTATTATTATTTTTATTATTATTATTATTATTATTTATTGAATTTATATCCCGCCCTTCTCCTTGCGGACTCAGGGCGGCTGACAATCAATTTAAAAATACACCAAAAACAATTACAAAATTTAAAATTAGTTAAAAAGAAATATTTAAATATTGTCTAATTAAAATATGATTAAAACCCCTCTAAAAATTACCCTAGGCCAGTCCCGCTT